TCAATTCTTCAGACACAAATTCCTGGGCAGTTACAAGAAGGTTTTTGCTCCGACATCAAAAAGCCTTTGTTCCCAATAAGAATTAATTCCTTGGACAGTTCCTTGGTTTTAAATAAAACCACTGTTTTTTTGGATATGTCTTGGCAACAGACAGCATACCAGGCTTCTTCAAATGGGGCTGTCCAGCCTAAATGCTACTGCTTAACACAGGGTTGGTGCAGCATAAAAGCACATACTTCTGTTTCCATACAGTAGTTTTTGACTCCTATGTTGAAAGATGTAATGAGATGAAGTCTGGTTATTGCTCCAGCACTGAATGCGAGTCTTTGTTCAGAGGAAGCAAGGCACAGCCCTCTGCTATCAGATAGTGGTGAGGGCAGGCTTCAGAGAAGTGGCATTTGGAAGCTGTTATCGTGTCTTTGTAATGGGTGGAGGGGTGGTTATTTTGAGCCAAGTAAGAGATAACGGATCTTGCAGTGTTTTCCAGGCCAATAATCCACATTTCCAGTGTGTTTAAGCAACTTATTCTACTTCGAATACTTCGAATTATACACAGAATGCTTTGCAAGATTCTGCCTCCTTCATTTTAGTTTCAGACACTATAGCTAAGCTTCCCCTTTAGAGTCCTGCAAATGAGTTATGGTCTTAAGATTAAAGAGGGTCAAGGAATTAATAGTTGGTTTTCATCTTTAATTGCTGTCTTCAGATTAATTGCATATGCTGTTCAGTTTTTTTTTTTTTCTGTCCTTGGTTTCTTTGCACATAAGAGAGAACAATTGCTACCCATCCCTGGAGGTGTTCCAGACCAGCTTGGATGGAGTCCTGGGCAACCTGGGCTAGTGGCAGATCTGGAGGTTGGTCCTGCCTGTGGCAGGGGGTTGGAACTTGATGATCCTGGGGGTTCCTTCAAACCCAAAGCCAGTGATTCTGTCTGCCTGATGTGTGTTGGTGTTACTCTCTGCCAGACACGGGTCTTCAAGGGAGGACAGGTATGTCTGTAGCACTGGAACTGGCTGCATTGCCACCTTCCTCCAAATGGATGTTGGTGTTAGGAGCTGAAGGGAGTGAGCATGATGCTGTTTGCTAAAACTATCTGTGTAATTGTGCTTTGCCTGGTTTTCCACCCCATGCGAGACACTGAGGCTTCTTACTGTTCAGGAATGTGCTGTGATTAATGCAGTGCCTTCGTACAATTGCAGGGAGTGACATAGCCAAACCTGCTCTTCCCATCCTAACCCCATGCTGTGCTGGCCCATATCAAACTTTGCCTTCAGAAACTCACTGCTGGCCTTCACGTGGGGCCCTGGCAATGCTGGAAAGCCCCAGCTGCCTCCAAGGCTTCCTTTGCAGCCTTTGTTGCTGGTGATGACTGCTGGGTGATGTTCCTGCAGTGAGCAGCATGTCCCAACATCCAGCCCTCCCTTTGCACAATGCTGGTGGAGCTCCTCCTGGTCTGTTTTGGGGATTTGCCTTTTGCCCTCAAGCATGAAAATTGCTTCTCCTTATCTCTCTCCCTACATAACTCTGGCTGCTGTAACCAGCCATAAAGTTATCAGCTGCCCTCTTCAAACCAGCGCCAGGTTTGCTGCTCTGCCCTTCCCTGCCAATGCAGTGCAAGGGCTGGAGAAAATAATTCTTAAACTTGCTTTTTGTTTAACAAACTCCTTCACAAGAATGAAATGATGCCATATGTTGCCTGTAGCGCAAAGAATGTGATCATTAAAACCAGCCAATATCTCTTACCTGGATCATGATTTCTTTCTCTGTCTCTCTTTCCTCAGAAGAAATTTGTTAAGACTTCAATGCTGCTTTTCTTTCAGGATAATAAAAGGAACAATTACTGTTCTGAAGTGAATTTCAAAGGACAAAATCTCAGCAAGTTTAGCTTGAAGGGAAAAGGCTTCTGCCGCAGAATTTGTAGGAATACTGGGACATAAGTCCCTTATTTCTTCCCTTTTTGCTGCACCGTCAGGTTTTTCTATGCATGGTTTCTATTTTTTCATGCTATGACAGTGTTTGTTATGTGTTGCTTCCTTTCTCTTTCAAGTTGAAAAGGGGTCAGATTAAATACACACGATGAAGAAGAGGCTAACCAGTTCAAATAGCTGCGGATGGACTGTTTCAGAGGGGTTGGCTTGAAACAGCAGGAAGCATCAGTTGCAAACAGCAAAGCTCCCAGGGAAAATATGCCAGCAATTTGTCTTTTATAACCTTGCACATAACCGTTGGGTAGGAGTTTTTATGTACACTGGCCCTCTGTTCTTGCTTAATTCAATCTAGCAAAGCGAGATGCTACAAATCTTGCTTTTCTTTGATGTGCAGTGGTGAAGGCATGTTCATTTGGCTTATAAATGCTGTCTGTTGGGATGGGAAATCTTTCATGGGAAGCAGGGGGAGAGAAAGAGCTGCAGTGGCTCTTTCTCCTGTGGCTGTTGTGTTATCCGAGGAGAAGGGAGCTGTGTTGCTTCTCCCTCTTCTTGTGCTCTTGGCTTTTGAATTAGCTGTCTGTGCTCTCCAAAGAAAGGCTGGTCTGATGCCCGCCCACCTTTCTGTTGGGCACTTGCTGCTGGTCAGACTGCTTTTGTCCAGAGCTGAAGTGGCACTTTATGGAAAAATACAGACTTGCATTTATATAATGTCTGCTTGTCCCCAAAAAACCCAGGGCATCTAGAAATCCCATGTGGGGATCCCTGTATGTATAAGCATGTGTGCATTCCTAAAAAGCAGAGCACAGCTATGATACCAGAATTCCAAACAGCATTTAAAGACAGAAAGCGAGGCAGCCTGGTTGTAACCACAGGAGGAAACTTCAGAGAGCAGAATGCAATCAGCTGAGCTGGGAATTGGCTGGGGTGCTGTGGTTTAAATCTCCTAACTCTGCCAGTGCTGTAGCATTGTCAGTGTCTGTCCATAGGCTTTGATGCTTGGACTCCATCTGAGGAATGACACCTCCTGAGCGCTGCAGCATCCCCATCTAGGAAGCCTGAATGGTTTTATTGATGCACGCCGCTTCCTGCTGCACATGGGGGAGATCAGGAGCTCTCCCATCCAGCCCTGCTTCAGGGCTAGGCGTGATTTGGCAGGGTTGCTGCAGCAGGAGGCAAAGCTGCAGGGAGTTTGCTCTCCTTCGGGTTGGGTGCTGCACTTTTAAGCTGACCTCTGCAAATCCTTGCAGAATTATTTGCTGCATCTAGCAGAATGGTTTCTTTTTAACTGAGCTGCATTCAACATTAACCAGTTCTTCTCTCCAATTAATTTGTGACCTCAGCATCTGTCAATACATGCTAGAGCTCAGTGGAATACTCTGAACTCCTCCTGCGTATGTTTGTGTTTCGCTTTGCCCTTCAACATTATACAAGTTTTTCTGCAAAAATATTGATGGAAGTTTCTACTTTCGGGCCTTTTCTGGGGCCTTTCGGTGTCTGAACTGAATATGCAGCTCAGCAGTCTATTCTGATTATCTTGGCTCACAGCTCTGCTGTGGGGAGGGAGGGGAAAGCTGGATGTTGGAGTAATTAATGCCGTAGGAGCAAAAGTCCAGTAACACACCCGTAACCCTGTGGATGACTGTCATAGATTGCACATTGCACATGTGGATCTCTGCAGGCACTGGTGGGTTTGGCCAGCAAGAATTAGAGTCACCGTGAGCACACAGTGCCCTTGCAGTGTAAGAGCGTCTGTCTGTGATCTGATCAGCATTTATTTCAGATCCTGCAGGGGATTCTCACAGCCTGCCTGGATTATTTATAGTTACAGTATTTTAAAGAAAGTTAGCATATGTGAGATAATTTCCGGTGTGGTGAGCCACAGTCGTTTGTTTGTGCTGGATCCTGGCCAGGAAGCAATGCACCTCGTCTTGATGGGACTGATAGGCACTTGATGTGAATTGCCTGATGTAGGAGCCCAAGTTCTTGTGTTTGATTTTCAGAGTGTTCTTCACATACAGACCCTCTGAAGTCAGACGAGTTTCTCCAAAGTCCTCTGAAAAAGTTTGCCTGATCGATTTGCCGTGTTAAAAATAAGCAGTGCATGCTCCACTGATGCTGTTCTTGGGATAAAGCTTTCTAGAAGCAGTCAGAGATGTAAATACAGTACATTTGAGAAGGCTCTATTGCTACGTGTAAGATGTGCATTTTATCATCTGTTCTTACACACCACTGTTTTAACTGGATACATAAGATGATGTCACTGTGGTAAAGGAGTGGTCTAATGTGACTTGATTTATCAATTCATTCAACCACAGCAAAGCGTTTTCCTTGCTGCTTTATGCACCCTTTTACTTGTATTGGTTGGGAAGCAAATTCAGCTTCAGCTTTCTTGCCTTGTCAGGCCTTGAGGAAGCTCTGAGGTCAGTTCTGCTTTGCCAGGTGGAAGGAAAGTTCCAGGGACAAGGCAGTTCAGAAGCATGGGCTTCTGGACTTAATCCTCTTCCTGCTGGAAATCCGATAAGCGTTCAGATTAGCTTTATCTTTGGTAGGGATTAAATTTGCAGAGAATGTCAAGTTTTCATGCTGAGATTGGTTCTTGTCTGGGAAGACCCATTTGTAGCAAACAGCCTGAATTGTTTGATGCAGCACAGTGCCACTTATGCATATGACAGAATATTTATAGTGCTTTACCTATGAGTGCTGTGTCATAGTTAGCCCTGTGAAATGCTAATAAAAAATGACAATTATTTAATTGATCCAAAGCCTCTACCTGGGGTAATAGAGACCCTTGGGCAGGTGTCATGGGCCTTTATTCCTATAGGTAAAAGACTGACTTGGGCTGGTGAGAAGGATGTTTCTGAAGCTTGCAGGAGCCAATGATAAAATCTGGACGTAGATACACTGCACGCTCCTCCAGTGTACCATACATACAGATAGCTTACTAACTTTAGAGCACTTTTCCAAAATCCTATTCTGCCTTTGACAGCTGAGAAGGTACGAGATCTCAGAATCTGATTACCTCAAGGTTTTCTGATGTGTTTTTCAACTCACTCCCATCTCCTTCCTTTCTAGCAATCTACAATTACGATGCTGTCCAAGATGTGGAGCTCTCCCTGCAGGTTGGCGACACTGTTCACATTTTGGAGATGTACGAAGGTAGGTTGTGAATCACTCCCTACTACTTCTCAGTAGTTCATAGAATCATAGAATAGCCCGGGTTGAAAAGGACCACAGTGATCATCTGGTTCCAACCCCCTGCTATGTGCAGGGTCGCCAACCAGGCTGCCCAGAGCCACATCCAGCCTGGCCTTGAATGCTTCCAGGGATGGAGCATCCACAGCCTCCTTGGGCAGCCTGTTCCAGTGCATCACCACCCTCTGTGTTCTTGAAACTAAATATAACAACTCAGCATTTCTAAAGTGCAACCTTTGGATCAAGGTTTTGAACTTCTGATGCATCTTCCATGCACAAAGCTTGCTGTGTGATGCTTGCTGGATGCACTTAATTTTTTTTGTTAAAGAGTATTAAAATACACGTCTCTGCTGTTCCTGGTAGAGGTTTGCCAAGGTAAGATTTCACCAGCAACTCGAGGCAGCACTGTTAGAGAAGGAAATGCTTTCCCTTCTGGCTGTTCATTCCTGGTTTTACACCACACCTGTTTATCTTAGCTCCTCCTTAATATAGGCCCAGTGCCTAGTCATATGATGAACCAATCCAGCTGGAACAAGAGAAAAATAAGTAACTTTTAACCCCAATTAGTTCTTTGATCTGACACAAAGGAGGTGGTAGATGAAAGAATGGAATGAAGCCATTTAATTAAAGAACAATCTAGTACCTACTTCATTTGGAATGTTGTGTCTGTGCTCCCCAAAGTCTAAATGCTCTTTCCAAAATAAAAATGTGCTCATTTTCACAAGCAGCATCAGTTTGGAAGAGACTCTTTGTACAAAATTTCTTCAGTATCACTGCTATGACAAGCTTCTTGTTGAGCAATTTGTTCTCTTTCAGTATCTCTTCGTGCCAATGGAAATGGCCAGTTGGTTCCTCTGTGGCACAGCAGACTATTTAGCATTTAGACTGATATGTGTCAAAGTGGGGAGTATTTTTGGAGCTGCAGGTGAATATCGTGCTTAATACAACTAACTTAGGAGCTGCTTTTGTCAGTAAAAACTGCTGTAATGAAAAGGATGCATCTTGCATGATCCAAAATGTTGAAGTATTTTATTTCTTTGTATTTTATAGGAAGGCTGTTGCTCAGCCCTATTGTTTGGTCTGTAATAAGCTGTTCAACAGGACATTCAAGAATAGGAAATGAATACATCCCTTTTTTACCTGAAATGTCCCACTTTGAAACTTCAGCCTGGGAGGACTGATTTGTAAACTGCTGGGGAAAGCAAATGCATCAGGATTGTTTTCATATGCTGAGCCATCAGTGTGGCATCCTGGCTTGTGGCTGAGGACTTGGAAATTCCTGCAGAACTACTAGATACTTTTCCTGGAAACACGAGCCAAAAATTTGAGCCACACATTTATTTGTGAAGCCAGTGGAAAAAATATAGATTGTCTCTGAGATGGTGGCTCTGCTCTGGGACTAGTCTGATTTCCCATATAATTCATCTTAAAAACTTAGAATTCAGTCTGTCTGGGAGGAAACTCTGCTGACTTATTGTCTCTTTTGCTTTGTTTCCAGATATTTGTAGATTGTGTTTCTGAGAATTAGTGTTCTTAAAAGAATACTTCCCTATTTCTTCTTATGCTAATGATGTCTACTTAGAAACATAACTCCAGTGTAATAAAAGTGGGTTTTTGTTCCTGTAATCGCTGCTCTTATCTGGATACACAAGTCTCAATTAAAATAAAGTTCCCTTTAATCAAGGTGTTGGCTTTGCAAGAAAGGCTCAGGGATGCTTCATTCAGTTCTTCTTTCAGGTGTAAGTTATCCCTGCAGCTCTTGGTGTGTTCTGCAGGGAATTAAGTGGGTCAGGGTTGTCCAAAGGCTCTTGTGTAATGGTAGCAGTGACTTGGAAAATCTTACTCCTTCCTATTGTTGCCTGTGTCAGACTGCACAGGAGCATCTTTGTGAGTTAGCAGAGGGCTGTTGTACTGCAGTTCCCTTCCTGCAGTGTTGTCTAGAAAATTCTTCCATTTTTCCTCCTGGTTGAAGTCAGAATGCTTCTGTGTTCAGTGAAGGCTGTGTGTGCATGAAATAGCCTTCACTAGAAAGCTCTCTATCTTCTGCATCTGGGGTTTTGGCTAGCTCTGGCCTTGAAGAATTGGATTTGAGAAGTACAGAGTTTGTTCCTAACAGTGAGGCTGCGAGGTTGAGGCTCACACTCAGTTTTGTCTTATCTGACTCCCAGCTGGCCAAATAGCTTCAAGACATAACAGTGCTCCAGCTAAGCTGCTGGAGGAGCTGGGTGAGAAGCTAAGAGCAATAAAGTGAATTAAAGTCGTGGGTGTAGTTTGTGGTGCAGACCTCTGTGCCGAGTGAAACTGTGATGTTTTTCCTTCTTTCTCTGGTTAGCTGTCTGATTGCAGGAGGGCAAGAGAGCTTTGTACAAAATGACTCCTTCCACTTGATAATAAGATAAATACCACTTATCCTATTGTTTGCTAAGTGTTGCAAGATTGGGATCATTCTGCAGTGTCTAAGGGGAGAAGGAAACTTGCTGCCCTCAGAGCTTTGAAGACATCTTCTGTGCAGACTTTACTTTCTCTGGAAGTTCACCAGTGAATGGTGAGCAGTGGAGGGTACGTTTCTGTTCAGGGTTGAATCTTCCCTGATCTGCAATATATATTCTTTTTTTTTTTTTTGCAAGTAGTGGGAAATAGCCACATCATGGATAGAAGGAATGTGTGCCCACACACTGTGATTCAGACCAGTTTCTTCTCTCTGATGCAAATAAGTTTGCATCGAATATGTTCCTGGTTTAGGTCTTCATGCCTCTGACTGCAGTCTGGAAATGAAGCAATCCCTTGTTTGTTCTCCAGGAGAGAGAAATCTTGGATCCATGACTCTGAATGGAATCTTCTTTGCTTAAATAAATGTATATATATTTCAAAGGCATCTACTTTGCCTGTTATTCTCTTAAGTCTCCTTGCCTTTTTGATGCTCCCTGTGCCAGCTGGCTGATGGTAATCGTCTGGGATTGGTGATGTCTATCTTGATAACTCTGAACACCATGATCTTTAACCTTCATGTTTTCTGAGAGGTAGGATTGGTGTTTTCAGTTTCCTAAGGCTCTACTTGCATTCAGAGGTGCTCCAAGAAGCATGGCTAGCAGACTTGGGGTTGCTGAGTGTCTTGACTTTCAGAATGCAGGTTTGCATTCTAGAGCAGTACAGGGCACATTCTGTCTGCACATCAGCTTTTTCAAACAGAGTAGATTCTTCTTCAGAAATGCTTAATGCTCTTAATTCCAGTGCATTGACTTCAGTTTCCAGTCACCTTCAGTCTGCCTGTTGGATAGCCCAAGAAGCATCCACCAGGGACAAGAGTGCTTGATCATATGCAGTTCTGACATAGCCAAGACAAACGACAAAAGTGAGGGTGGAAGAAGAGTGGACGTGACTTCCCACAGCTACACTTCTCTTCTGTCTGCTCATAAAGCAAGGCTTGCTGGAGAGCAGGAGAAGGAAATGCAGCAGTTCTTTCACATGCTTGCATGTCAGTGACCTTGAAGTCATAACACTGGTCTAATCCCAGGTGCCGAAGAGTGAAGCATTGTACCTCTGGAAGAAGCTTATCTAATAAAATGCTTTTTTTCAAGTCTTCCTTTGAAGAAAGACCTTTTTCTGTGACCCAGTCTAAAGAACCTATATAACATGAAGCTCACTCACATCTGTGTGGTGATGATTTGGGTGAAAATGTCCTTTGTTGGAAAGAAAACTTCACAAGTGATGGAGTTGGGCTTTTGACTGCTGCATACTTACTGCACCATCTTCAACCAGGAGCTGTGTGTGCATAGCTGTATTTGCCTCTGTGCCCTTCTGGCAGATGCTGCAAGCAATAATTCTGTGTTGGGAATTTATAAGCTTTGCAGAACAGGGATTGTCACTCTGAAAATGTATAGCACAGGGTGGCCTGATGTTGTATTCAGCCCAATCAGTGTAACTCAAATAGAGGATGTCAGTTTGTGCAGCCTTCTGCCTATGGACCACGCTTCCTACAAACAACAGAAATGTCTGCTCAGTAGCAGATCTCGAGTGAACAAGATCAAGAGATAAATGCTGTAGGATTGCAGTGAGAATGACAATGTGTACTTAACTGCTGTAGATAGGAAAAAAACCTGTTTTTGTTTCTCTTTGACAGGCTGGTACCGAGGATACACGCTCCGCAATAAATCAAAGAAGGTATGACCTCACTTGTCAGTAGCTGATTTTCATTTTCCACCTCACCAGACCCCATCCAGCGCTGTAATCCGCTGTGCTGCTGCTGTATTTCTGTTGTAATAGTATGCAGGTCTCCTGATCAATATCCCCTTTTCCTCAGCAATAGAAATAAGTGCCCTTGAGGTGAACATTTCAGACCCATTAGTGGGGTTCTTCCCCAATGTAGGCATGCATAATGCAGTTTGAAGTAGGGAAGTTGACTGTTGTGTATCTGTATATACTAGCATATTGCTTTATTATTATTGTCTTGAACATGAATACAATATCCAGCATTAATTGTATGATCCACTAACTATATGATGGTGAGATCAGGATTTTGATTCGACTTAGAAAATATTCCAAAAATAATACACCTGTGGATCACAGCCAGACTGCTTGAGGTTTGCAAAATCAGTCTGAACAATGCGTGGAATCTGTTTTCCCGTAGGAGTCCTGCCACTTCTCATGTGGTGGCATCCTTCACTGTCTCCATTTTTCAGCCCTAAAGGGGAATGAAAGCTCCTAGGAGGGTCATTTCTGTTAAAGCTTGGGACTGGTGAATTCCTACAAATGCTGTCATGTGCTGTGAGCTTTCCTAGGGTCCACTCTGTAGCAAGTGCATTGGGTACAACTCATAGTTTGCAAGACCTTACAGTGTTTTGCACAGGAAGATGAGTATCAACACAGTGAAGCAACGAATTAACTTAGCTGGGGTGCTAACATCAAATAGAATGTTTAAACATGGCAGAGTTCTCCTGTGATGCCGTGTCTGGCTGACCTTTCTGTTGTGGGTAAACAGTAAATATCGTGGTTACTGCTCTGCTGCTTGTGCTCATACCCCCTTCCCCTGTTTTTTTGTTGAATGCACTTATGTCATATGCTTCGGTGTGATTTGTTGTTTTCTTTCACTTATTCTATTTATTTATTTTTAGGGCATTTTCCCAGAAACATATATCCACTTAAAAGAGGCAACCGTGAAGGACCGGGGGTAGGTTGGAGCTTTTTTGAGATGTGCTCTGAGAGCAGAACCAAAGGAATACTGTTTCATTTTATTGTAGTTTTAAAAATACATATTTAAAAAGAAAACAGAAACTTTAGAAGTTGTTGTCATGAGTGTTGTTACCAGACTGTGCTATGCTTCTGGAGCTGCATAACTTCTCCTTTTTTCAGAGCATAGTACATCCCAAAACAACTGTGGGCAGAGAGGCAAGAGAATACTGTTTGCAAAAATGAAAGAGGTCTGTTAGACAAGTTAGTAGCAAGACAGGACAGACAAGTTACACTGAGCCCTCTGGGGAATCCTGCAAATCATAACGTGTTCCTGCTCACAGCCAAGGAGCCAGCAGGAGTGTGGACTCCTTCCTGTCTTGGAAAACGTTGTAGGAAGTGACTCCTCATTTGATTCTTACAAAGGATTCTGTGATGAATCCTGTGTGAGGAAAACAGCAGTTGCAATAGGAAGAGATTTTAGAAAGTACTTTTTTTTTTTTTTTTCCTTAAGTGTATGTGGCCAAATTACCATTGGAGGCAGTGATTGCTGAGAAATTCTGTCCATTTAGCACTGAGTTCTGGAATGGATCCATTGAGCATAACAAGACAGAAAGACATTGGAATCATTTTCATGTTAAAAATGGATAATGATGTGTTGAAGAACAAATTGAACAATGTAAAAACTGTGTGAAGTTCATACAACTCATGTGTGAATAGTATGAAAATCTAGGCTGCTTCTCTAGTTATGTATTTACAACTGAAGGATGTTTTATGACTGGATATGGATCTTAATTGTAACACCCTTTTTCTGTGTTCTCCATCTTTAGACAACACGAAACAGTGATTCCGGGTGAATTGCCACTTGGGCAAGAGCTTACTTCCACCCTGAGGGAGTGGGCAGTTATCTGGCACAAGTTATATGTGGTAAGTGTGTTTCAGTGATTGGTATTTGGTGGAGGAAGTGGAAGAAGGGCTGTACCATTGCAGGCAGCTTGCAAGTCTTTTAAAGGCTCATTTCCATCTGTGCAGCTAGAACTTGTGTGTCCATTTCTGCTCTTAAGAAAGGCTGAAAAAGTTCAACCCTCCTCTAGACAAGATCTACAAGCACAGAGGGAATGGAGCTTTAATCCATGCTACAAAGCGTTCACTGTACGTAAATAATTGGGTGATGATGCAGCACTGATGAAGACTTGTCTCTCAGCATTGGCCTGGCACAAGTCACACTCAGCATCGTGTCAGCTGGTTGGGACAGTGTGTGTGTGAGTCACAGTTTACTACTTGAATAAAGGTTCCTGCCTTGCATTGTCCTGTATGAGGACAGGATGTCTCAGTGAAGTTAGGTGAGAAACCATCATGTTGTTTTAACGTTTAACAAGTAGAAACTCTTTTCCTAGACATAGTGTAAATACTAAATGGAACAGCTCATCCTTGCCATGGAGTGCCTACAGGTCAAAAAGTCAAGGGATGAGAAGTGAGCTGGGCTGGTGATCTGTTTAGTGGCCTGGCCATGTGACTATGGAAAAGTCAAACCAAGTTAGTGCATGGATTTGATAGTTTTGCTAAGATAGGTGGAATTCTTGCACAGAGAAGCTGGTGTTCTCAATGACTTGCTGTCTTTCAAAGGTGATTATTAAGGCATGCTAAGAAGAGTCAAACGATTTTTCTTTGGTCAGTAATGAGTTCAGCCTGCATGGTACTGTGTGCTCTGAGACTCTAATTAAGATGAGAGAATTATTTTAAATTAGCTCTAACCATTCAGTGTATCCAGAACAAGCTTTCCTATTGAAAATGTTATAGGGCCACAAGTACACTTTGTTTGTGGGCTATGCAACCACAAAAATGCATTCCATCCTCTTAATTTAATGAGAAAGTGTATGTGACATTATTACTGTGTGAAAATAGACTTTTGATCCTGGCTTTATTTATAGGCTTTTATTTTTTTAATGCATTTCTTGTTTCAGAATCTCTTTTTCCTAAGAGCAGAAATCTTTCGTGTTCCTGTGATTAACCAACATAAGTCTTAAAATAGCCTTGGAAAATGTTGTGGTTTGAAATGGATTTATTTTATTTTCCTTTGCAGTATGTATTAAAAGAAAGAAGAATAAAAAAACGGGATGCCACAGAAGGAGGAAGGGGGTATTTGAGGAGAGAAAGGAAATACAGAGGATTTCTTTATTTAGCAGCGCTTTATTTCCTTTTAATTTCTGTGTTTTTCTGCAGATGTTGTACCATCGGGTATATCACTACTGCAAATAAATACAAAAATGGGTGGGACCTTTAGCTTGGGCTAGTTAATAGCAGTTAACAAGTGCAAACAGCCAGAGAGATAACTCAGGTTTAGCTAACTGCCAAACTGAGGCCTGCTCTGAATTTCTTTAAAAGCTCACCCAAGTTGCCATCTCTGTAAGTGACTTTAGCTGCAAGTTAACAGTGCACTTTTATTTTTTGTTCCCTAAATACACCTGCTGTATCTTGCCTTTATCAACTGTAGACTAACCCAGCTTCCCCCAGCACCTTCACCCAACTCCAATGGAAGATGGCTCCCAGTTTGTAGCTCCCTTTGGGTTCATGTTCCGAAGGGGCAAAGTTGGTGTCATTTCATCTTCCTTCTCCTTTACAGAATGGGCCAGTAACTTCAGTGAGCTCTTTGTCAGGTGTGTGTGAGCAGTTGGTGCTCCTGGTTAAACATTAACAGCTTTGATATCACACACTGCCATTAGTCAGCTGCTGGTGACTGTCCCAGCAGTACACAATTGACCAGTTCCTGCTAGCTGTTGGTAGAAAAAAGCCCCACTCTTAAGCACCATTTTAGAGCTGCATAACCATAAACTTTGTCCTAGTAGACCAAAGCTGAGGTAAGTTGATTTGTGGCACCTTCCTTCTGAAAATGAGCTGCCCTTGATGCTCAGTGTGGGTCAGAATTGTTGTAGTGCTCAGCTAACTGAGTGGTGGTGAGTGAGGACAAGGCCTGGCTTCCTCCTTCAGTCTAACAGCTGATGCTTTGAAAGGCTTAATTACTTATCTAGGCACGTTCTGCTGCAAATATGGTTATCACTTCACTATCCACATTGTAATTACACTGTCAGCCTTGGAATCTGAACCTCTATGAAGGAGGTGTGGGTAACTAATTTTTAAGAGTGTGGAACCACTCTTAAATAGCATAAAAAATAGCATAAAATATTAATAAAATAATAATAAAAACCACTCTTTAGTAACACAAAAAATATTTTCATTCATCAAAGATGACAGTAAAAATGGGAGAAGGAAACTTAACAATGCAGGTTTCAGTGTCCCATTAGACACGTTATGATTACAGATGTTGCATTCATAACAAAAGATGAAAATGCAGTGACTGTGGCAAAGTGAAATGAATACCTGGGTAGATTGGACAGATGGTATCTGGGAAGCTTCCTTCAGTCACATGGTCTGATTGCATTATTTGGTTGATCTCTGGCTTGGTGGGTTTTGAGCAACCAGTTTGACCATATATAGAACTTTCAGAAACCTCTGTTACCATTCTGCCTTTGCTAGTGCTTAAGAGCATTCTGTGATTCAAGTCTGCACTGCACTGAATTCTGTGCAAATGCAAACAAAAACGAGTGCTCTGAAGAGCAGATAATCTTCACCCTTATTTGCTGATAGGCTCCAGTCAGGGAGATCGTTGTGTTTCGACAGAGCTGTTCTGGTTTCCATGAGACTCTTGTCTGGAGGTCAGGCATGGGCACAGCAATCCACGTGTGAGTTAGTGGTGGGCAGGAGAGGAACCTTGAAATACTGTGTGGGTGCTGGCAGTGTATCTCAAATACTGCTGCATTTTGTTGCTGTTGCTTTTTTATGCATAATAATTGGATTGAAGCGTTCTTTAGGCTGTAGAAGGTGTGAAGACAGAGCTTATGTGGGCTTCATAATAAATTATTATTTATGTTTTGGTGTCACTGTTAGACTTCTACAGGTAAAGAGTTTACCACAGTCTTAATATCTAAATAGGTGAAACAAATGGGAGGCATGCATAAGAAATGTAAGGCAATGTCACGCTTTCTGAGAGTGACAGACCCCAAATCTTGAGACACTTAAACCTTGGCAATGCAAAGTGCTGGAGAGTTTTCCCCATGATTTAATCTTATTGTGTCATATGATGCTTTTTTCTCAGATATTTTTAATTAAATGCAACTTGTATGATGATTTAGATGAGTACATTTCAGGAAGTTATCTGAGGTTGTAGTTTCAGGTTATTATTAGCTTGAAATGGTCCTTTTCTTCCTGTAGGATAACAAAACAACACAGTTTCGTCATGTCCAGCAGTTGACTTACAGCCTGATAGAGTGGAGATCACAGATACTATCTGGGACTCTTCCCAAGGATGAGCTGGCTGAACTCAAGAAGAAAGTCACTGCTAAAATTGACTATGGCAACAGGTAAACTCCAAACTACATCCAGAGGGCAGGGGAGGGTCCCAGATCCCAGTGCAGGCTCTGGAATTGTATTTTGAGGATGGATGTAAGTAGCTATTAATACAAAATGATGTAAAGAAGCACACCATAACAACACTGAATCAGGCTGTATGTTTTGCCTTGGAAAGGAGGTGATTACAGCTTTCTGTTCCCATCAGAACGTGACTAATCTGACAGGTGGGCATGTGGCAGTTGGCTCTTCATATGCCAGCATTCTCTTCAAATTTGGCAGCAAAGCCTACCTGTCTTAATTCTGCAGAAATGCTGGCACGTGATTGCATTTCCCAAGGAGCACAGTTTGTGCCTGGCTGACTGGAGCTGGGATTTGGATGCTGATTGTGAACTAAACTGCTTTATCAGCAACTGAGTAATACAGTCCTATAGGCCACCAAAACTACATCTTTCATTGGTTTATACAGAATAGGGATTGTCTCCAATACTCATTTATCTACCTGTCAGACTTGATTCAGGTCAAATAAGTCAATTAAGAAGAAAGCTTATGGCAAAGAATAATAATTAGCCAGAACCCATGAGCTTCATAGAAATACTTGCCATTTTATATTAAGTTCATGTAAGTGAGAACAAGATGTCATCTTAGCATAAAGTTACATGGCTAATTATTTCTCCCTTTAATGGGAAAACTGGGTAGCGAGGGATGAGGAAGCTCTGTTTCTGGGGTGGGAAAACCATTAATGTGATTATTAGAAGGAACAGAATCAATGAATATTGGCTGCCTGGTGCAGCCCACAGCTTGATCTGTCATTTGTGCTCTCTGTCACCTTTGCTTCTTACATACTGTGTTGCTGCTTTTGTCCTCTGATCCGCATGCTACTCAGGATCCTGGGTTTAGACCTGGTTGTACGAGATGACAATGGGAACATCTTGGACCCAGATGAAACCAGCACAATCTCTCTTTTCAAGGCCCATGAAACTGCATCCAAAAGGATTGATGAAAGAATCCAGGAAGAAAAGGTACATCTCATGCTGCTGGCTTTACTGTCCTCACAGAACTAGTACCTGCTGTGTTTGTACATTCTTCTTAGGGATATTGTGCTACTTTGGCAGCAGAACTAAAATGTTTTATGTTTTTAATGTTCTTCTTTGCAGTCCCTGCAACAGAATTTGGAACTCCGAGGGCAGCCAATATTTAACACGACACACACATACAGCCTCTATGTAAACTTCAAGAATTTTGTTTGTAATATTGGAGAAGATGCAGAGCTCTTAATGAGCCTCTATGACCCTGACCTCTCCAAATTCATCAGGTAGGGTGTTGGGGTTCTTTGTATATACATGAACAATTTAGTCGCTCTGAAGAAGCCAATGCAAGTTAGAAAGCAAGAGTCAGCAGAAAAGTGTTTTTTCAGTTCTGTTGGTTGCTGCTCCAGTAATGATTTGAAAGGGAGTTATTTAACTTCAGCTAAGAAATAAAGATCATGAGCACTTGCACTCTGCTTCTTAAAGCTGGGTGTTTCTGTGATACAGTAGTGAAATCCCAGATTGTGTCTTTTATGTTCTTTAATTTCCCTGTTGTTTTCACTGTTTTAAGGCATTTGATTAATTGCTTCCCTTTTAATGAGGTATACACATATTGTTTTCTGTCAAACTAGTGCAAGTTCACACTTAAAAGCTGGCTATCTTGTACCAGTTAGGGAGGATACAAGGTATAGGGAGGCATTTAGATGTCAGGCACCATCTGTCTCTATCACTGAAGTTATCAGGTGTGGAGATGCAGTCAGTTACAAGAGGAAGTAACTGAGTGTAGCCGTTCCCCCTATGCCTGGCTTCTGCCTTCAGTGAAATGAGCCTCTTGAGAGTCATGTTGGCAGAGCATATTTTGGCAGAGCTTTTCAAAAGCTCCGAAAAAATCAAACTACTCTTGGATAATTGGAATGTTAGATGTTGATTTTTGCTTTTTTTTTTTTTTGCTTCATTTGTAGTGAAAATTACCTTGTTCGTTGGGGCAGTAATGGGATGCCTAAGGAAATTGAGAAGCTAAATAACCTTCAAGCAGTCTTTACTGTAAGTTGTTGTATTTACAACCTGGAGATCTTCCCCCATGCTGCAGATGTGGGTGTTTGGGATTCTTTCCCCTTCTTGCCTCTCTGCTTCTAGTGGAAGTGGCAATTTAGGTTGGTTTTATGGGCACTTAAGATCTCGTGGGCAGCCTCAAAGGAATGCTCCTGAGAAGTATTTTTTTAAGAGTAGATTTTCTTTTAAGTGTGTACAGTCTAACAAAGCAAAAAGCCTTTTGCTCTCTGTCCTCTTCTCTCCCACGTATAAAGCAGATTGATGTAACTTTATTTTAAATAACTTCCAGGATTTAAGCAGTTCGGATTTGATCAGGCCAAAAATCAGCTTGGTGTGTCAGATTGTGAGAGTGGGGCATATGGAGCTGAAAGATGGGAAGAAACACACGTGTGGACTCCGGAGACCCTTTGGTGTGGCAGGTATGGCAAATTCAGACACAGGAGAGAAGAGCACAGTCCAGTGGCTGGGAGGGTGAATTAGGAAACATAGGCTTTATGCCAGCAAATGTTAACTCCTTCATGTCAGCATCTCTTGAGGACTGAGAATACGATGCTGAGCTGTTTGATACTCCTTTGAGATCTTTTAGTCTTCACATACATGAAGGTGACATGCTGTCAGTGCTCACTTTTTGGTTTGTCTCTATCTAAATAGATAACACACTGCTGTCAGTACAGTGGACTTTTCAGATCTTTGAAAAAGAGGGATTTGCTCCTCACAACTAATAGGATAAAGATGGATTTTTTCAAAGGAGCTTTGGTGAATGAGACATCCAATTCCTGTTCAGTTGCTGTGATTGCTTGTGAAGAGCCTTGCTTGAGATCTGTGGGGAAAACAATTTCAAAATAATCAGCATTTGAAAACTAAATGTTTGGAGGGATGGTTTTTTTTTTTGCCTTGAAATGCCTGAATCCCAGCTGTGGTTGCTTTTTTTTTTTATCATAGAGAATATTCACATTCACTCCCATGTGCAGACTTGAGCATCAATAAAAATATGCTTGTTAAAAAGTTAAAATGATGAGAGTGGCCTTCTACATTGCTGTCATGAGTGGTCTTGGACCAAAACAAGCAGCTATTGTTTCCATTCTGATAGGGAGAGCTCTCTCTGTATTCTCTTTAGCCACTTGGCAGAACTGTGTCTTGGATTTGTGTTGTTTCAGTGATGGACATAACAGATATCATACATGGGAAGGTGGACGATGAGGAAAAGCAACATTTTATTCCATTTCAGCAGTAAGTATTATACTTTGGAGTTCATCACATATCTGGCTCTTTTAAGGCACTTGTCCTTCAGAGAAGGACAAATTTGTATGGGAGCCTGGCAGCTGACCAAGGTCTCTACAAATAGATTAGCTAATGGCAGTAGTCAGCTTTTTGAAGGAAAAGATTTTTGTCAGTCCTCTGATGCTTTTGTTCCCCTAGATTTACATGTCTATACAGTAAGTTACTTAGGGAGTCTTGGCATTGCTGCTGGAGTTGGTAGATGTTCATATCATATGAAGGAAGAAAGAAGATCAGAGAGCAAAATAATGTGGGTCTGGGGGATGTGACCTTAAAAATTGTCATGGAAGTGAGGTGAGATTTGGAGGAGGAGCACCTGAGCAGGCAGGGAGCATTGCTCCTTGTCAGCATTGTGTGGTTCCCTGGGCATTGCCAGCCTGTAGCTTTTCAGGGTGAGTCAGAAAAGAGTTAAGAAAGAGATTTCCCCCTCTTCCTGGAAAAGAAATTCAAGCCCCTCTGTGCTGTGCATTTCTGTAATGCTAGAACTTGTGTGTGTTCTGCCTGCTCTCCACTTGCTCACTTTTTCAGCACATTACAGTAATTAGAATGGAGCTTGTTTGGGTAGACTCAGCTTATTACTGTCCTAAATATAGTGATCCATTTGGTGTAGCTTATGTTGTTGCAGGGTATTTTCAGGAGAGATTGTTGTATATCCCTACCATTTTAGCACCCACAAGACTGCAAAAAAGGATGTATTTTAATTTGCAGAATAGCATGATTCTCCTTCTTTTTTTCTTTTTTTTACCCTGTTTTTCTTCTGTTATAATCAGATCGAGTTTAGACCTAAATGTGGTCACCTCTACAGGAATGGGGAGTCTGTGGGGATGTTTGTATGTGCTTTAGTTCATTATTGATGATGTGGGAACAGGAGTGTAATCTGGCTCCAGATCCCAGCTCGCTAGATGTGTTTGCTAGGGACAGGTTCAACACTCCTGTGGTGTCATTAGTCATGTTAATTTAAGGCTGGTTAATGAACATAATCTCCTGGAGACAGCTCTGAGGCACAGCTGAAGACAGAGCTCAGTTCATCTAATAGAAGCAAAAGATGCCACCTGCTGAGCTGTTCTCCTGTGTGGTTCCCCATGGCCATAGATGCTCTACAAGGCAGTGTGTGGATGGAAAAAGGAACAAAATAGAACTGGCTACCTTTGTGGTTGTCCTGAAGGCTGCTGGTTTAACATGGTACAAATGTATTCGCAGAGCTTTTAACAAGGCACAAGTTACTTATCCTAATCCTAGACTATCACTGATGGTTTTTTTCAGTTGGGTTTAGGCAGGTGAAGAAAAAGTCTTAATTTAGAAGTAATTACGCTACTTGGAAAACAGCTGTTGGCCAGCCCTTGTCTCGCAGAGCACATGCTTGGTGTTAGTTTATCCACTTCTCAGTCTGTTGTTGTTCTTCTCAGGATTGCCATGGAAACATACATCAGACAGCGACAGCTAATTATGTCCCCGCTGATAACTTCCCATGTGATTGGAGAAAATGAGCCCCTCACTTCTGTCTTCAACAAAGTCATCGCTGCAAAGGAAGTGAATCATAAAGGGCAAGGTACAGCAGTCAGGCGGGACGTGAAAAGCTGGTGTGGGGAAAGGTTCCTCTTGCTTACAGAGGAAAGTAAATGGCTCGTGAAAGTCCAGAGATCGACATTTACTGGAGTTCGCTATCTTCACCAAGCTAAACCAATGGCCTTTGTACTAATGGCCATCACCCCAGCACTTTGGGAGCTAGAGAGATTAGAAATAGGATCTGTTCTTACTTGAGTGAAAATAAATCCTCCTTTTCTAGCTGATGCTTGCTACTTATGTCATTTTATTTTGTTTTATCAAATGTGGGCATAAAATATTTTTTAACTGAACACGACTGACTGCATTTTCCAGGTACTTTGGATTCTGCTGTTCTTGTATGTCTGGTTTTTATCCCAGTAAGCAAATGTTACCCTTCTTTTCTTAGGTCTTTGGGTCTCCCTGAAGCTGCTTCCTGGTGACCTAGCACAGGTTCAGAAGGATTTTTCTCACCTTGTAGACAGATCCACTGCTGTGGCTCGCAAAATGGGATTTCCTGAGATAATTCTTCCTGGTAGGTCCCATATTCTTCCACTCTTCTGTGGAGTAAAAGAGACATGTGAAATTCTGGAGTTTCTGCTGTGGACAGGTTTATATCAAAGATAGCTTAAAACCAGTTTGTTTTTACTTTTCTTGATATTCCAAGGTGATGTCCAGTTTTTTTTGGTGAAAATGCTTTCTTTGAGAAATGTTGAAAAATAATAGCATCAGTATTCCTTGGAGGAAAATCTCTCTTTAGTTGAAAAGAAAATTTTGTTGCTTACAGTTCTGACCCTGCTTTGCTTTTATCCATTTGGAACTGCTTTAGGCCTATCCAGCTCTCTGCATTTAAAAAGATGTTGCGTAAAGGCAGAGGTCTCTGAAAATAAAAAGAGAGTGGTACGTTGTAAAAACTTCTCTGCAATTGGAAATGAAGATGAAATGGTGTGATGTTGGGTGCCATGAATTAGCTGCTGTCAGTAGCTGTGAAGAAGAAAAGGATGATGTTAATCTACCCTATGATGTTAAATATTAACTGGGGAACTTCTATGACTCTCCATACAGTAAAAAGAACTCATTGAGTGCTATGGATTTTAGGTGATGTTCGAAATGATATCTATGTCACCCTGATACAAGGAGAGTTTGACAAAGGGAAGAAGAAGACTCCTAAGAATGTAGAAGTCACCATGTCTGTACATGACGAAGATGGCAATCTCCAAGAGGTATGATGGCCTTTGCAGAGGAGAACAAAGCTGCTCATTTGGATGGGTGGTAGCTCTGGTGCATAGGATCTTTTTCATTCTTCAACTTGTATGCAAGGACTGCATAATGAACAAGAGAGATTAGAGGAGATCTCAATGAGTACTTTTGAAGTCACTAATTTTCTATGTTACTATCAAATGTGAGTAAAAAATGAAGTGACACAGTTGCCTTGATTGGAAAGCATGGATTTTGAGCAAGCCTCTATGCTTTGAAAACTTTCAACCCCAAATACCTTCTGTCTTTCATTCTAGACCTCACATTTTCTTTTTCCCCCCTACCCTTATTTATTTATTTTTTTTTCCAAAGAAAGCTATCCATCCTGGTGCTGGTTACGAAGGTGTCTCTGAGTATAAGTCTGTTGTTTATTATCAAGTCAAGCAACCATACTGGTATGAAACTGTAAAGGTAAGAGTGTATAATTTATAATCTTGCTTCTTTGCATAGAAAAAAGACCTAATTTGAAATCAGTTAATTAAAATGATATAAAACTAATTTAAAACCATAATGTCCTGTAAATTGATGACGATGTCCTATCATTTGTAGGTATCCATTGCAATAGAGGAAGTCAGTCGTTGCCATTTAAGGTTCACTTTTCGTCATCGATCATCACAGGAATGTAAGTATTCAAAGAGAAGCCCAACAGAACACTGCACTCTTCCTACTCCATTGAGATTTTTGAGTTTCTACCAATGGTGTACCAGTTTGCATTCTGCTTGTTTCAAATGTTGGGATGTCACTGGAAGCAAAGACAAATGACTGAAGCTTTTTATAGCCTTAATAAAAGGTTTAGTGCTGGTTTTGTTCTAAAACTGGAGTTAAATAGGCCCCCTTGGAAGACTTTTGTCAGTGCTTCTCTGTGGATAGCTGTGCTTTTAATTTCTTTTGAGACCTTCACACAATTGTCCAATTCAGTCTAATGATCTTACAAGAGGTTTTCTGATTACGTTGGTGAAAGGCAAATGACAAATTTAAAGCTGAAACTTCAGCAGAATTCTTCAGAACCACGTGAAACGGGATCAGTAAAGTCAAACTGATCTCTTGGAAGAAATCTTTTAAGGCAGTTGAGAAATGCAGTGACACACTTCTGCATCCATAACTCACAAGTAAATTTGTAAAATCCCAACCAGAATCTGTGTGCACAATTATATTTGTCCATCTAGCAAAAAACTAGCCACTGAAATTGCATGGAAAGGGAAGATTCAGAGAGGAAGTTTTTCTGTGTAATTGCAGATATCAGCTAAGTGCCCTGAGATGAGCTCTTTATGCTGTGGATCATGAAGCATTCTACTTCCAACACATTATCTTGTGATGGTGCTAAATAAAGATGCTGCGTGAATTATGAACAGTATGGACATAATTAAGATAATTCCTAATAAATATTTTTTCTTTCTACTTACAGCTAGGGATAAGTCTGAGAGAGCTTTTGGCATGGGCTTTGTGAAACTGATGAATGCAGATGGAACAACGCTACAGGATGGCAAACACAACTTGATTATTTATAAGGTAGCTCTGGCATTTGCAGTCCTCACTTTGGTGTAACTGATGAAAGTATCTCTTTTGACTTTATTTTTTCCAAGCAATGTAAACACTGCTGTATCATTGTGGAAATGTTCAATAATTTCTTTCAGGATGATGGCAGTAGCCTGTTTTTGTAAGTTACCATCAGCACAGCTTTGAGGGATTGGTTTTCTGACTTGGTGGGCACAAATCTGGTACATACTATTGTGTGTCTGTACAGTCCTTTTCCTCTCACATTATTCACCTGGACAGCAAGCAGCAAACTGGCCTGGTGAACACCTCATTTAGAAGATCAGTTTGGGACAGGGAGAGAGATATGGTGCCTTTCATCACAGTAAGAGGAAGAAGCTAATGCATTGCTGTAGAAAGCTACTGCATGATGGGGTGGGTTGAGCTCCTGCTTTCTGTGGCTTGATTCACTCTCTCAAAGAGCTGAGTTCATTGGCAGTGTGCAGGCAACTTCTATTTCTTAAAGTTTGAAGTCCAAACAATGCAAGTAAATGACTATAGACATGAAAATGTGTTGAAAGCCTTCTGTGGCCATCCCTGTGTTTAAGTGTTTATGTGGATAATGTATCTGCAGATGAGAACTGCAGGAGTTCAGAGATGTGCTCAGTGTGTGAGATAACCCTCCTTGTTCTTGTGGTCAACCAACAGGGTGATAACAAGAAAATGGAAGATGCAAAATGCTATTTAACTCTTCCTTATACAAAAGTGGAAATGGAGGAGAAGGAGGTTCCCTCAGGGAAAAGTCTGCACCATCTAGCCAACTTTACACCCAACAAAGACAGTACAAAAGACAGCTTTCAGATTGCCACTTTAATCTGCTCTACCAAACTCACCCAGAATGGTAGGTCTTGTGTTAGCATCCCAGTGGTATCATGCTGTGTATTTGAATTTAAAAGGGCAATTTCTTTCTGCAGATGTCTATGGCATTGTGGCACATGTGAGCCTACTGCTTTAACTTTAATCTTGCTGCTTCACACATCACTGACAGTCCAGTCCCAGCATTGTTGGCATCAGTATTGCCCTTATTTGTTTTAGAGTTCCTGCTCTAAAGCAAACACAGAGCAGAGCACAAGAAAAAATCATATACTCTTATAAATGTCCTGGTTTGAAGTGTTTTCCCCTGAGTGAATGAGAATCCTGCAGAATTGTCTACTGAATGCTTTATGCTATCAAACTACATCAAGGTTTTCCATTAATAGCAAACCTGACTTTCTTGCCAAGACAGAAAAGCCACCTCAAGGTAATTTTCTGCACAACACAGTGTGACTTTTCCTCGTAAACTGATTCTAAAAATAACCTTTAGTACTTATTCTGTACTATTCTACAGCCATTAAGTCAGCTGTGTTGTTGTAATCTAATTGCTGATGTTCTGTCCTTGCTAGTTGACCTGCTGGGTTTGTTGAACTGGCGTTCCAACTCTCAGAACATTGCCCACAACCTGAGGAAGTTAATGGAGGTGGAAGGAGGAGAAATTGTAAAGGTATACATAGAGATTTGAGTCTCCTTGTTGTGCAAATACTTGGAAGGTTTATCATTGTGTTGTACCCAAAAGCTCCCGGTATGGGGTAGGGATAGCTGTTGTTCTAGCTGCAGAGTAATGGCTGGTTGAAAAGGCAGTAGAGCAGAAATGAAGAGAGGACAATCAGAGCTGATAAGAAAAGATCCTCCTTGCTCTTACAACTGAGAATAGGATGATCATCATGAGCAGCATATGAATGAACATAAGGCTAAGATCCCTTTAAAAATGGTCTTTTGTGTACGACTTTTACAGTTCAACTGAGCTAGGCTGGAGGGGAACCATGATCCAAAAGAACAGACTCCTGTGCAGTGTTCCAGTGTTCTTTTCTGACACTTTTGCTGTTCATTCCTCTAGTTTTTGCAAGACACTCTTGATGCACTTTTCAACATAATGATGGAAATGTCAGAAAATGAAACCTATGACTTCCTTGTGTTTGATGCACTGGTGAGTGACTTTTTGCATCAATGTTATTAGAAAAAGAAATCAACAAAAATTAGGACCCAGCAAAACCAACGACGTGATTGGAGACTAAGTTGTGTTGCAGTTAATTAAAGATTGTGTATCTCTGTATCATCTCTCTCCTCTTAATATTTTTTTTTGCAGGTATTTATTATTTCTTTGATTGGAGACATAAAGTTCCAGCATTTCAACCCTGTACTTGAAACTTACATTTACAAACACTTCAGTGCAACTCTCGCATACGTGTAAGTATTGGTAACCACAAACCTACAGACTGACCTCCAGACAGCATCTTTCTGATACTGATAGTAAATTAAACTAATGTGGTCAAAACAGCATAGACCCCAGATGATTGTTTTTTGTCCTATTCCTCTCTGCTTCCAGGAAAGAAAAAAACCCTGCAGTTAGCTTTTTTACTTAAAAGTTTCCATTGTCAGAATTCTTTTCTGCAAGGACAAGATGCTGCTGGCATGGCAAATGCTGCATTAAGGACGTGATTCAGATACTCTTTTGACCTGTAGTACTCACACTTTATTTTTATTTTGTGCACGTGTGTGTGTTACAAAAGGGTCTTTGTGTTTTTCAGCCTGCTTTCCTATCAAAAACAGGCTTCTTGCAGTCAGTCTGTGTGGAAGATGTCATTGTAAGTCACTGCAGGGGATGGGGAAATTGATCAAGGAAGATAAATTCATTAAAAGTCTGATCTAATAAGTTTTGCTGCTGCTGGAACTATTTTACCTTGCTGGTATCCACCCAGGTCCTTCAAAGTACTTTGAGCAGAAGGAAGTTTGACATACTTTATATGGCTGCAGTCTTTGTAGTATGTTTGGTGTTATGGGAAGCAGAAGCAGAACCATGCGTGGCTGGCGTTGTGGTTGATGGTAGCAGAACTAAAATGAAGTTTGCTCCCACCGTCTGCTGACAACAGGCAGGTTGTGGTGGCCACAGACTTCAGAGAAGGGCCACATGTCATGGGGGGGGGTTACACACACATATCAATGCTCTGCATATCAAAACTCTCAAGTTGGTGGCCGTTTATTTAGAACAAATTTGCAGTTCTTCACATTCAGAAATGCAGTTGAGGAGATGGGAGTAATTTTGTTTTCCTGTAGCTGTTGCATTTTTGAACTTCAAAGCAGTTTAAAGAATTGAGCTCACAATCATTAGTCTTACTTCATCAAGGAAGGGAAAAGCTGACGATAGCCAGAATTTATTTTCTTGGAGGTGAAGACTTAAAGTCCTGTTGGGCAGCCCGGGGACTTTGTGTGCTTAAAGTGAGGTATTGGTTGAAGTGCCTGTTGTGGGTTATGTGCCCAAGGATATGTAGGAAATTGGGGTAGAGGACAAGAGCAACATCCAAGTCTCTTGACTCTCCAGCTCCCCTTGCTCTGGAGCCCCTGAGCCCAGTGGTGATTGCCTTCATGGTAAGAGGGAGCTCAAGATTTAAAACTCTGGCCACTAGAGGCAAAAAAAACAAACTCCTTTTCCCCTCTAGGAATCCCTTTTTAACAGTAGGTGTTAATTCCCAGCCCCGAGTATGAAGCCTCTGGCTGGAAATATGATACAGCAAAGCTCTGAAGTCCTCCCCTCCTGGATTGCTTTCTTCTTCCTTGTCCTGGCTGCACTCACTGTGTGCAGATGATTTCCTTTCCTGCTTCCCTGTAGCCTGAAGAAAATTTCCCAGAGGAAAATTCTTCATTCTTCTTTCTCTTTACTATAAATAAACTTCTTTGTCTGATTAATGGACATGCTGCATCTTAGCTCTGTTGTTCCCTTGTCTTGCTTTCCAGCTTAGCCTGACAATGTGATATTTGCATAATGCCAAGTGGACTGTGATATTATGGGTGTCCTTTGTGTGCTCCATGTGCCAGAATTTGACAAAGCAGGGAATTGGATGCTGGTAGTGTGGAAGCAGAGCAAGTGCAAAAGCTGTCATATACTTATCTATTGCTCACACACCACTTGGAGTGCTGGGAGGTGTTTAATGAAGAGAATTTTGGTTGAAGGACAGTAAGATTCCCATGCTTCAATTCAGGAGAGACTGGATAGTGAATACTTACAAGTGTTATGGAACTTTAGCATTGCTTGAGAAGCACTTTGAGCTCTGTGTAGCAGAAAGCTGACGCATGCAGAAGGTATCAGTCCACTTTAAGTAGTAATGGGTTTTCCAAATCCCTGATTTCTTTGTTTTAGGGAATAAGAAAAGCACAACTGGGATTTCTGGGTAGACATGACTGCCATGGTTCATCCGTGGAACTGGTCATAAAAACATGGCACCCAAGGAAGCCAAAAGCTTCAGAAGAAAATAAGTAAAGAATAACTTCTGCTTTCAGATTATTAGATTGTAGTCCTCTCTGGAATAAGGAAGCTGAACATGCACAGAAATTTAACTCTGTCTTTATTTATTCCCCTTTTTGATTTTCCAAAGGAAACTCACTAAAGTGCTGAACTGTTATGTGGGAAATGCTGATGACTCCAGCAAGACAGAATTGCTGTTTGCTGCTCTGAAAGCCTTGAAATACCTCTTCCGATTCATTGTTCAGTCAAGAATATTGTACCTGAGGTGAGCTTTGTCACTGTCATCTTCACTGTGTCTCTTTATGGAAGTCAGTGCTTCCAGTCACTATCACTGGAGAGAATACTCTTCAGCTTGGTTGAAACTCATTTTAAGACAGAAATGAGCTACTTGATTCTTGGAACCTAAGTGGATTTTGAGGCATTGACAGCTAGAGAAATGCAGCTTTTCTGTTACAAGTTTCATCAGGAAATTACTCCCATAGTAATTGCAGAATCCCAAATGCCATTTTTGCATTCATTTCTTTGTAGAAGAAGATAACTGTAAGATGTTCTTCCAGACTATAAAATGGTATTTCAGCTGCTGTGACTCTGCTAACCTAGATTTACGTGTGTAACTATATCCCTTTCTGTTTTTTATAGGTTTTATGGGAAAAGTGAAGATGGTGATGAATTTAATGATGCAATACGCAAGCTGTTCTTATCCTTCAATGTCCTCATGGACCGTCCGTTAGAGGAGGCTGTCAAGATTAAGGTATGCATAATTTGCAGGAAGAGCTAATACCTTTTATTGCATCAACTGATACATTTGGGGGAAGGCAGAAAAAGGGTCAAGCTTTGAGGTGCATAATCCCATTCAGATGAGTCACACCAGAATCTTCAGCATGTCTGTTGCAGTTCTGAATGTGAAAGGAAAAAAGGCATTTAAACCATAAAGTTTATCAAATAAAGATGTGAGCTGCTTGCTGAAAACCCTACAGCAGCTGCTAGGATGAAAGCTAACAACCAAGATGTAACATAGCATGGCATGAAAGGCTCTTCAACCACTAGTGCCAAGTGATGGTGATACAAATGTTACACCACTGCAAAAATGAGCATAATGCTGGAAATGAAAGTACTGAAAAAGCAGATGGTTCCTAAATGTATCTTAGGTACAAGATATCTCTTGTATACTTGCTTGTTCTTATGGCCTGGACTGAATTATGTGCCTTGTGTTTGGGCTCCGAGGAGGAGCAGAGCAACCATGCAGTAAGTCTGGCTAAATTGGTGAAGGCAGTGATTCCTCTAGATGGTATATTTCAGTTCTTCTAACCATATGCCTTTCTCTGCTTAAAGGAAAGATTGATTCTAGACTTCGAATGAGTGTTTGGGTCATTTGAAGTCCAGCTTTGATTTGATGATAAGCGGAGTTCCTGCTGGCAGCAGCCATGAGCATCACCCACAGGCGTTTAGTTACGGTTGCACCCAGGTGCTTGGATGCTACATCTATAAAAGCCATTGTGGAAACTATTTAACATATTCCTCTGTATGTGGACATGCTGAAGGAGCTTAATCCCTGGAACTGCAGGATGTTTGCAGAAAAACCGACCAACTTGGCTCCGAATCCTTCCTCCTTCACTTCTTCCACTCTGTGCTGCAGTTTTTAGTTGCTGGAGGCTTTTTGGACGCATAGATTTGATCTCAAGCCAGATCTTTGCAGGTGTCTGCACATTTGCTCCTGGCAGAACTAGATTTGCCACATGAGCCATGGGCATTGCTTTTGAGGCTTTACACCCTTTCAGAATGAAATCTCACTCAGTTTCCATGTGTGCTTTATGTTTCTCTTTCTCTTCCTTGCAGGGTGCAGCTTTAAAATATTTGCCAAGCATCATAAATGATGTCAAACTAGTCTTTGACCCTGTTCAACTCAGGTAATCATATTAAGCTTGTCCTCCAAACTCAACTCATCTGTTGGGGAAAAAAATGAGAAACTTTCCTAAAAACAGCTGCTCTGATTATGATGTGCTCATACATGTAGTGCATAATTTCATAGGAACCTCCTTCCAGGGCTCTGGAGGAACTCAGATTACTTCAAAGTAGTCTATGCCATTCAACTGCTTTTTCTTAGGAGCTTTGAGAATTTGTTCTAATCCAAAATTTAAGGACTGGAGAACCACGTGTGGAAATGTGCAAGTTTCCAGTTCTTAATGATTGCTTCTGAGGTAGACTGAAATGTGTGACGTATCCTTGGTCATAAAAGTTGTATTATTTCAAGAAATTCACGACAGTGTGGACTTCTATTCTTTGGCATTCATAGCTTTACCAGGAACCTCCCTTTCATGCTTCCTTGTTCTGACACAGATAATTTGCTCTCAACAGCAGACAGACAGCAAATGTACATGGAATTTAATTTAATGGAGTCTAAGATTAACATGAGTCATCATTCGTGATGAAAGGGGCATCTGGAAGGATGTGCCATTGTGCCTAGCAGTGTTTCAGGCTTCAGCAGTGCAAAATTCTGCTTTCATTTTGTGTGAGACTGTGATTATTTTACACTGGCAATGGAGGATGTACAGTACTTCCTATTTATAAGCTTTTATGGCATGTCTATTGCAAACTTTACTTTGAGAGCCTTTTGCCTGCAGTTTCTGGATACTGTTCAGTTTTACTGATTGCTTTGCTAAGTTTGTAGAAAATAAATTAATAAGAAAACAACAATTTAACACAGGGGCAAAACTGCTTGACTTGCCCAGGTGCAGGGCAGTGTAAGTGTGGATGGAAACACACTGGGTGAAAATGCTGATGCTCTGTTTGTTTTGTGGTTTGCATGTTAGCAACCTCTTCGGCAACTTCATCCGAAGTATTCCTGACAACCAGTTGGTTCGACAGAAGCTGAACTGCATGACCAAGATTGTTGAGAGTGATCTGTTTAAGCAGCCTGGTGAGTAGTGAATGGAGGTCAATGGTTTCTTTGTGGAGCTGTGCACCTTTGCAAACAAAAATGTCTTTCACGTTTACACATTTAAATCAATCATCATCAGTAGCCCACAGTTAAATCCGTCTGCAGAAATATTCTTTGCCTTAGTGGCTCCAGAACTTGAAACTTTTTGTTGTTTAGTGTTTATGCAGTGTTAACTATGGTGGGATCCTGATTGAGCATGTTGGTTTAAAAATCAGGGAAGAGTGTGACCTGTTTGGTGTAACACATACCATTATGGATTATTTGTCTCTCTTAGTCTGTCAGAGTGGATTAAAGTGCATGTTTTGGTGTCGGAGCTAAAGTTAAGAGCAGAAAGCTGCAGTGTGTTACTTGTTTATATGGACTGCTGAAGAACCAACAAGTTATGGTGCCGTGTTTCATTTTCAGAATGCAGAGAGGCTCTTCTCCCTCTGCTGATTGACCAGCTGAGCGGCCAGTTGGATGACAATTCAAACAAGCCCGACCACGAGGCCAGCTCACAGCTACTGAGCAGCATTCTGGAAGTGCTGGATAGGAAAGATGTGGTGAGCATGAACTCTGATGGGTGCAAATTAAGGTTGATTCTTTCTTTTCCCTAACTCTTCAAAAAAACCCAGGTCTTTACAGAAATTTTATTGTGTTGCTCTGTATTTTTTTCAATCTCTTCACACAAAGTAGCTGTGTCCAGAAAGAGGTCGTGCAGAGATTGAATTGGTGGTTATTGCTGTGTACAAAGAAAAGTGCTTTCCTTCCTAGGAACCAGAATGCAGTTCTCAGTTACTTTGATGGGTTGGTGGATTATTATGGAGCCACTGATTTAAGTATTTGGTTTCTCACTGAAATAGAGACAACAGTCATTCAATTGGGGGAATACAGTTATGCACCCCCTGACTCACAGAAATTAATTCTAAGTTGCTTTGAAAAGAGTAATTTAAAATGAAGAATTGTTCAAGGGACAAATGTGAAATAAAATTGTTCAGTTCAGCTGTGCTGGGATGAGCCAGTGAAGCTGGAGCAGATGAATTGTGCTGTTACCTCTTCTCTAAGTCTGTACCAACAGTACTCAAATCAGCTGTTGTTGTGTAGTAAGTCCTCTTCTTTGCATCCTCAGATAGCAGTTAAGCACTGCTGGGGCAGTCCTCCCACGTCAGGGAGCTCTATATAGAACAGTATATGTGGAAAATAGTCTGATTTTCCTTTTTGAACATCCCCAGGGGCCCACGGCCAACCACATCCAGCAGATCATGGAACGCCTGCTGAGGAGAATAAACCGCACGGTGATAGGAATGAACAGACAATCTCCACACATTGTGAGAGCCCTTTCCTTCCTTCATTTACTACATTCCCCTCTATAATACTGGAATTTATTCTCCTGGGAGGTTTTGGTATGTAGAGTGGTTTGTGAAATCATCACTTCCTGCAGCGCTTCTGTGCCACTCCAACATGGCTTCTGCTCGCTGTCTGTGGATGGGTATTGGGATTCAAACTGTTCCATTCCAGCAGCAGATCAGCTGAGTCACAGTTGGCTGTGATTCTGAGGTCCTTTGGGCCCCATGCACAGAGAATTTGGTTTCAGCCCATTTTCTAACACACGAGGAAAGAAAATGCTCTTTTGCCACCTTTGCTAAAAAGGACTAAATGCTGAAGGATTTGGCATCTCTAAATGGGAACTGTGGTTGCTGTGTTGCATCTTAAAAGTGTAGGAAAGCTTTATGTCCTGATTTGCACTATGTATAAGTGTGCAGAAAGATGGAAAGATGAAGGGCAAGTACAGATAGCCATTTCATTGGTTTGACAACTTTAAGGTCAGGTTGTTGCTATTACAAGCATGTCAGCCATGGGAATAACAGTTGGGTATGATCTACTAAAAATGTAGTGATTCATATAGATATCTATGTATATGTACACACACAAACACACATATATATATAAATATTCATTCTGATGTTTAGAGGATATGTTTTTCTTGCAAACTGTGATCCCTGGGTGAAAAAGAAAGCTGTACTCTGACTTCATTCTTGAAAATTAGGAATTGAACTGGTATGAGGGAGAGGAGAAAACAGCCAGACACACAATGCCAGGACGGACCTATATGTGCAGGATTGGGCCTAGTGATATTTAATTGGGTGGAACCCTGGAGCCACATGCTGCACTTTGAGCTTTGGGGCTTAATACAGAAAAATAATCAAATGTTTTGTTTTTTTATATTCTAGGGTATTTTTGTGGCCTGCATGACAGCCATCCTGAGGCAGATGGATGACTACCATTACAACCATTACATCAATACTTTCAAAACCAGGCAGGACATTATTGTAAGTCAGCTTGGCTAAGGGATTAGTTTAGTCCATAAAGAATTATTTTCTCCTTCTGAAAGGTCATTTCAAGTTACTGTATCTGGTTTAGAGTGATCAGAATGCATTCATTAGCGGTGACTCCTGTGTTCCTAGAGCTACAGCCAGTGGGGATATTTTCACATCACCCCTGCTGGGCATGGGCAGTTGGATGTGGGTATGGGTATGGATGTTGCTGAGACTCAAGCCTGAGCATTGGTAGCATTGATAAAAACATGTTTAATAACTTTTCAAGTCCCCGCAAGTAAAAGGTCAGGAACCAAAAGAGTGAACGAAGATGCTCTCGCTGTATGTCTTTTTGATTGTTTCTTTATCTACTTCTTTCTAGTTCATCCCACCTCCCAGCTTAATTAAGAGACTACAAAGCTTTCAAGTGCATCTAAAGGAAAGAAAAGACAGCAATTTTGGAAATGTATCTGCATTAATTTCTGAAAACAAGGAAGACTTCTATTAATGAAGTCCTATGGGATAATAGCTAAAACCCTAAAACTGAATTCTAGTTTAAACCAGAATGCTTTGTCTTGCTTTAGTGGGTGTCAGTGGAAGAAGTTCTCTCCCTGTTAAAAGCTGTATACAATTCATCTTCTCAGAGACTTCCAGTATAAAACCAGGGGACACATCAGGCTTTGATTCTGGGGGGGGATTTTTGGTTTTTGAGGACCTTAGAACCTACTGTTCTGACTAGACTTGTCAGCAAACTGCTCTAGGAGAAGTCAGAACCAAAAGCAGGATTTATTCAAGTCTTCACAGCACAATACGTCTTTGTGCTCCTTATTTTGCAACTTAAGGTGCTTGCTTATTGAAATACTGCCTGGGGAAGAGCCAGGAGTTGTGTTCTTCCTGTAAAAGATACATCAAAACCCACACAAAAAAGCCTGTAATTCACTTTGGATGGGAAGGTGATCCTTTGGTTTCCTATGCAGCTGGAATTGCTTGCAATCTATTGAGCAACATAGCCACCTACAGGACACACACATTTCTGTCACTTCTGCACCCACACGGTTGATAGTCAATAGGGAGCATTCAGCATCTAGCTTTAGAGCTGCTTTTAATATATTATGCAAATATATTTTATGAAGGGTTCATTAGAAAACAGAAACCAAGGTGCATCTTGTTTCGCCCTTTCAGCTCTTCATCTTCTGCCTGAAATGGAGTATTTCTTGCATGTTTCTGTGTGTTTATGTACAGCTTCTGCACAGAGACATATCAGGAGGGTGAATTTAGTAATTATTAAAGCTGCCTGCATATAATTTAAAGAGGTATTGATCCAAAATACCAGCTTAAAATTCCTGTAAATCTCAGCATCTACAGAAGCAAGTCTCCATTTGTGATAATGTGCGAGTTGTTAATGCCAATACAAAGTTGCATTATTTTTGGTATTGCAATAATTGTTTTTCTTGCTTTCTGTTGCTTACTGTTGATTTGTACATGCTTTGCTTCTTTTCAGCCCTGGCGTAGCATCATGACTTGGTTGGCTTAACACAAATAAGTTAATTCATATCCTCAAGGTGCCCCTGGACAAGCCCAAACCTTTCAGTCAAGCTTTGATTTAATAACACCTGGAGGGTTTTCACTGAGGCAGCACCAAATGCCCATTTCTCTCATCACATCCAAATTGCTTGCCAATTCTATAGAGCAAGCTGTTCAACCTCACAGAATAAATTTTTTGGGGGTGGTGTTCTTTGCAAGGTGGTGATTTCTTGTGTGACCTTTGTGTCCCTCTATTTTTGAATGCTGATCTGCTGTCTTTGCAGAGAACAGAATCTATTTAAATTCCCATTTTTAGCATTTTTGTCTGTAGAGACCGCAATACATAGAGGTCAATATTATTGATGTATATATCTCCTTTCACTCATTCTGTCTTTCTCCTTTTTTCTTATCCTTGCCTTGCCAAGGACTTCAGGTGTGCCAGCTTTGTTGGGGGCAGATTAACACTTGTGCAGAATGCATCTTTTCTATGATCGTATTCTAAACCATGCATCTGAAGCTCTGTTAATTACCTCTTTGTAACAATATTTCTAAAATAAGACTTAAGAGCCAATATTTCTAAAATAAGACTTAAATAGTTGGAGAAACGAAAAATATGTTCTGGGTTTCCATCTTTATAGAAGGTATTGCGTAGGGCTGCTATGCTGTTGTTATTCAGGTTTCTGGATACAAGTGCTCAAACATTGGTTTTGCTTTTCAATCCATCTTGTGCACCAGAACTCATTACAGCATGGCTTAATTTGGAACAGTAAAGGTAGATTTAATTAAACAGGAATAATTCCATAGAACCTGATCTCCTTCTGCAATTGAATGGATGAGATGTCAGAAGTAATTTAGTTATTGGAATATATTCCTGCATTAAGAGATCCTTCTTAGGAGGTACGGTGTATTGATAGGTAATCAATGCAGTAGTTAATCACTGCAGTTGCAAATGCTTACATTTCCCTGTACTTTTGTGCAAATAAAAAGACTGCTCATTTCAACCTGTGCTTTTTATTTTTCAACAGGACTTCCTGATGGAAACATTCATTATGTTTAAGGATTTGATTGGAAAAAATGTCTATGCATCTGACTGGATGGTCATGAATATGATGCAGAGCAGGTACGTAGTTGCTCCTATTTTAAGTCAGATTTGGAGTCGTCTTGCTTCTGAAAGAAGGGTGGTTCCCATGGTCACAGATTCATTGTGCTGGCCTGCAAATCCAGATTCGTTTCTGTCCTGTGATACAAAGTTTGTCGTAGGGGTGCAGTGAGGAGGACTTGGAGGTGACAAGTTGTTTGAATGCATCAGTGGGGAGGGTAGGCTGAGCTCTGGAGGAGCTATCATCTCAAACAACACTGCATTCTCATACAGACTGAGCCAAAAGGTGCTTTGTTTTTTCATCTGCCTCCAGTCGAGGTTAGAAACAGAGGAATAGCTTCTCCTCAGTGTCTCTTTACTGCAAAAGAAGTTCTTCCCAAATCTCATTTGGGGACATGTGCTCTTTTCAGCTGAGCTTACCTTTAGGAGACATGTAAACCCAGAACAAAGCATTACTTTTATTTCTTTCCTCCAAAAGTCACCTTTTCTTTGATATCTTTACCTCTTTCAGGGTTTTCCTTCGGGCAGTGAACCAGTTTACCTCTGTGCTCAACCGCTTCTTCCTGGATCAAACAAATTTTGAACTCCAGGTAACATTTCCATTGTTTCTTGATTTTCTTTTGGACATCAATGTTTCCCAAGGGGCATGGAGAGCAAGCAAATCCCACTGCTGCTAGTGGAAAATGTCTGTAGAGTCAGCTGAGTGCACTGCACTCTGAATTACAGAGCAGTGCTTAGTGCAGCAGTGAGCACAAACCAATGCAACTGCTGTAGGATTTATAAGGTCAGGCTGGGTGGTCTGTTGGCTAAAGCTGAATTGTGCTTGACTGGTTAAAATACAATGGGGTGTAACTTATGGTCACTTCCTTAGGCTGGAAAGTCCAAGGTAAAAGGAGTGGTAGATTTTAAGTTGCTATATGGGTCCTTGGGGTCTCTTTCAACCTAAGCCGCTCTATGATTCTGTGTTGGCCAAGACAGACTCATCTGTGCTACTGCACTTATTTGTTGGTAACCTTCCTCGTTAACTGAACTGTGAGACCCACAGCATTTGGACCAGTATATCTCTGTTGTTTTGTTTGCTGCTTTTCCTTTGCCTTCTTCTATTTTGGACTTGTTTGTCTTCCACAGCTCTGGAATAACTATTTCCATTTGGCAGTGGCCTTTCTCACTCACGAATCCCTCCAGCTGGAGACCTTCTCACAAGCCAAGCGCAGCAAAATTATCAAGAAGTGAGTTTACACTTAAAAAGTTGCCAGACCTTTTTATTTTTAAGAAGCAGCAGCTTTGCAGAGGTAACTTCAATAAATAGGCCTTCTTCATCTTTTTCTTCTGCTTCTTTCTAGGTATGGGGACATGAGAAAAGAAATTGGCTTCAAAATAAGGGATATGTGGTATAATCTGGGTGAGTTCCATCTCAGGAATTACCTTTATTCAAGCTGTTAAGCTGGATTTCTAATAGCTTATTTCTTCATATAAGCTTTTTGTATTTAATGTGGGGAAATACATTTAAGTCCAGCTGTTCAAAAGGACAAAGTATCTTTTCCTTTTTCACTAAATAACCTTCGAAAGCTGATCCTTTTTCCTGTCCCCTGATGAGATGGTCTTGAAGATATTCCTTACAAAGGAAGTTCTACCATATGAATGCCAAGAGGAGAATTTTCCAGGGAGCCTTTGTGATGCACATTATTCATGCAATTCAGTTCTATTCTCTTCTTTTTGGACTGTTTTTGAGTGTTGGAGCTGCAGCACATGAATGACAAAATGTTACCAACAGAAATGCCTCCTAACCAAAATGTCAGTGTTTTATTTGACTAATGCATTTGCACATTTGAATATCCATATATCACATGACTTCAGGCAACCATATTTCATTAGCATGTATCTGACATCAACTTTCTTGCAGGTCCCCACAAAATAAAGTTTATTCCAGCAATGGTAGGGCCAATCCTGGAGGTAACCTTGGTCCCGGAGCCTGAGCTACGGAAAGCTACCATTCCCATCTTCTTTGATATGATGCAGTGCGAGTACAACTTCAGTGGGAATAGAAACTTTCATATGGTAAGGGAGCCCCATATGTTAAGGGCAAATGTTCAACTGTGTGCATTGGGTAAGAAGGAGAAGAGAATATTTGAACAAAACCGAACAAATCAGAAGAAAACAAAATTACCAAAAAAAAAAATCACCAAACACACAAACATTGTGCTAAATACTTTCAGAAGTAATTATTAAGTGGTTTTACCTTGCATGTCTTTAATAATTAATAAACTCCTCTGTTTCAGTATCCTTCTGTATTTGCAGATGGGAAGGATTGTGATTGCTGTTTCTCTCATTATGAAGTGGAGAACAGTCTCACAGAATACAGACACAATTTGCTTGAGGCTGTGCAAGTCAAAGGACAGAGCAGGGAACAGGATCTGTTCTCTGAGTTCCGAACCTATGCTAATTTCTCTGGAAGTTCCCTTTTATTGCTACTGAGAAAGCACCAAACAGAAAGGAAGAAAAAGAGGGTCTTCTCTTTAGTCCTAAAGTTAACTTTTCTCTGCAGTTTCAAAGGTCTTTTTCTTCCATTTTTCCTCTGGGAATATCAGACCTTAACATCTCAGCTGGCAGACAGGGGACCCTCTAGTTATGCTGTAGGCAGACTTCTCCCTGGAGATAGGTAGGAGACATCCATCCAACAGGCAGCCACCTTGGCATTTCAGATGGTTGTCAGATGTGATGTGCATCTCCCTAAGCACCATACTCTGTCCAGTTCAGACCCCAGCTTCACTGTGTGTATTGGGATCTTTCTTCCCTTGAGGTCATCGGTGTTTGGCATGGTTGGCCCTGGGGCCTCAGGGGTTTTTGGAAGCAGTAGAAGGAAACTGGTTATGTGGCATGGATTTTCTGTTCCAGCAGTATATGTAATATTTATGATATTCTTCATGTTTTGGAACAGGAATGTTTTATATCTCAGTAATTGAATTATAGCTAAAGCTGTGTACTTGACTTGTATGTAGCAGAGCGTATCTTCATAGCTTGTTCTTGCTGCATAAGAAGTTGCTTTAATTAGCAGTCACAGCTTTTTTGTTGATCAGAGAGTGGTGACTGGCCCTTAACTGGTGGCAGTAGAGCAGTTTCTTTAGGGTGAGTGAATCATCATTATCATCTGTAGCTGGTCATTAAAGTTACTTTTCCTTCCTAGCAAAACTGAACTGCTGAATGATGGGGGAGAAGGAAAGGCACTACCCAGAGCATCACTTTCCAGTGTTTGTAGGATGAGAAAGGGAGAACTCATATCTCCCTGCTTGATCCCTGACTTCTTACCATTTTTGTTCTGGTTAATAGTGAAAGTGTTCTCTAGCTTGGCTTGTAAAACCAGTGCCTGATGGTAGTTCAGAAGCACTAGCAACAAGCATTACTGATAATGCCTTACAGAGCTGCTGTCCACTTAACAGGTTTTTTTTTTGCCTTTTCAGTTTGAAAACGAGTTAATAACCAGACTGGACCAGGAAGTCGAGGGCGGCCGAGGGGATGAACAGTACAAGATTTTGCTGGAGAAACTGTAAGTTTTATAGTGAAGATGGAGGCTCTTTGTTTACAGTGTAGCTGGCTATTTTTCTAAAGCAAAGAAGCAGAAACCCTAATGTAATCTGTGGCTAAGAGTCCAGTTGGAAGCCTGTAATTTGTGGTGTTCCCCGGGGGTTGGTGCTGGGTTGAATCTCAGTCAACATCAGCGACCTGCATGAAGAGCTGGAGTTCTCCCCCAGCAGGTTTGCTGATGATGCAAAGCTGGGAAGAGTGACTGACACACCACGAAGCTGTGCTGCCATTCAGCAAGACCAGGACAGACTAGAGAGCTGGGCAGAGACAAACCTGCTGAGGTTCAACATGAGCAAGTGTAGAGTCTTACTTGGAGAGGAATAACTGTATGCATCAGTACAGATTAGGGGCCAAGCTGCTGGAGAGGAACTCTATGGAGAAAAGGACCTGGGTGTCCTAGTGGACAACGGGTTGACTTCCTTGTGGCCAAGAAGGCCAGTGGCACCCTGGGGAGCATCTTGGGAGCAGCAGGCTCAGAGCTAACCCGATCAGAGCCTTAAAGCACCAAGAGTAGAGCCTGACAAGACAAGCTTTGACCTGTCCGATTTGGATATCTGACCTGGATATGTTGCCTTTCATCTCATTGGATTTTGTCTGCAGCCTCCTGGAGCACTGTCGGAAGCATAAATATCTGTCTGCTTCTGGAGAAAAGTTTGCTTGGCTGGTCAGCAGCTTGTTGGAGAACCTGCTGGACTACAGAACAATCATGCATGATGAAAGCAAGGAGAACCGCATGAGCTGCACTGTCAATGTGCTGGTATGGGGCAGGCTGGGTTTGGATGTGGGTGCTGCTTTAGTGACCTGGCTTTTCTCTTGTGGTCCTGGGGTGGATTGGGTGCCACAGCATGAATTTGGTGACCACAGTTTGCCATGCAGAGTAATTCACTGGAAAAGTAATTTCTTTGTTGATCTCCAGCCATCAAGTAAGAGGGCACTAAAATAATTTTTTAGGATTTTAAATAATAATATTCTCTGATCCTTTTGAGTAATTATGGGTCCAAATCAGGCTACCATCTATTGGCAGCTGTAAAACATAGGTATATAATGCAAAAGCAAATCATGTGTCTGAGCCTTGCTTATATGGTAACCTGAGGCCCTGAAATATGGGCAGGAAAAATGGCTAACTGATAGTTTGGGAGATATGGACTTAATTCCCTGCTCCACTGCGAAGAATAATTGTGTACCTTTGGACAGGTTGCTTTCTGTTTTTCCCTTAGCCCTTTTTGTAGCCCCATCTTATGTCAGGGGGATGATTTGAGGCATATATACCTCTTATTGGGCAAAGTGATAGCAAACATCTTTGAAATCTGGTATTGATCCTTAAGTTACTTGTCTAGCAGTGATTATGCAAATCCATGGTGGTTTACATCAGTTGCACTATTTCTTTCTCTACTTTTTGGCAGAATTTTTACAAAGAGAAGAAACGAGAGGACATTTATATCAGGTAGGCTGACTCCTTCCATAGGCCTGGACAGAAGCCTTTACTTCCCTCGTTTTTCATCACACTTATCAAGCAGTCCATCACATAAGGTAACAATTGCTTTTCATTCATTTAGATATCTGTATAAACTCCGGGATCTGCACACAGACTGTGAGAACTTCACTGAGGCCGCATACACCCTCCTCCTCCATGCAGAGCTGCTCCAGGTAATGCACTGAAGGCAGTTTTAGTTTCCTTTATCAGAGCATGGGTTTTAAAGAAAGTGCATACAGAATAAAGAATTCACTCTGTTTTGTTTGGCTTTGCATAAGCTAGGTTCCATTGGTCGTTACAGAGCTTCCTAATGTTGCAAATTACATAGCAGCTAAATGGATGAAAGCAAAAATAATATTAGCATCAATTTATTACATGCATTTGGTGAACAGTAAACTGTAGAGAACTGGGTGGAAATACCCATGTCAAAGTACTGTTTCTTCCACTTCTGTGTGAACAGTGTAAGTGCATTAGCATGTCATTGCAATTTGGATTTAAGTCAACTTCAGTTAATCTATGGAAGACATGAAGTAAAAGAGCATAAAAGTTCATTTAGTATCTCAGTGTAAGATCTGAAGCCAAAATCTCACACTTTTTGCAGATATATTGGGACTTAACATCATTGCAAAACTTTCTTGCCCTCTCTTAGCATTGATGCCTGGTTTGTCTTGAGTGCATCCATGCAGTAGGTTAGTTTGTCCAGTGTAAAGATTTATTCATCTGCATATATTCTAGTTCTTTCAGCTTTGCCTGTTTTCCTTTATGCTAGTGGTCTGAGAAGCCATGTGTCCCTCATCTGCTGCAGAGGGACAGCTACTATGTCTACTCACAACAGGAACTGAAGGAGAAGCTCTACCAAGAAATTATCTCCTTCTTCGACAGGGGCAAAGTGAGTTTCCTGGTGTTCTTGGGGTTCACTGGTACTTAGATTGGTGAAAATAGCTGCCAGAAGTTGTTTTTAAGGGGAATAACAAGCCGTGATGACTAAGGCCTGGCTTTTAAACAAACCAAGCTTTAGCATGAGCAGGGCACCTGTTTGTGTTTCAGTCCTGTTCCCTTGTTAGTTGAAGATCTGTAAAATTAGTCCCGTTCTCAATACTGGCTAGATGAGAAAACCACAGGTATTTTCCTTTCTTTTCCTGGCTTGTGGCTTTTGTTAGTGGTTTGGTGGTTGGTTGGTTTTTTTTGTGTTGCAGTAAATATGGTTTATCTGGCTGATACCAAACTTGTATTAGTTGCCTTTTGGGTGGATGGTTCTATGAAGTCTAAACGAGACAGACTGAGGGAAGCCTGGGGAATGGGATGATGCAGTGCAGAGGAGAATGCCTGGGCTTCTCTAATTTGCTGATTAACAAATGTGAAGAGCTGTGTGACTATGACAATCATTGCAAAAAATGTACAATGTGGAGTCAAAGAGAACATAGGCAGTGCATTAAACTGCTGCGTGAATGAAAATCAGCTGAATTTTTGTGTGACCTGCCTGTGGTGGTGAATGCTTTTAACTGAATCTTTTCTTTGTGCTCTTCTACTTCCCTTCCTTCATCTTTCTTGGAGATGTGGGAAAAAGCCATTCAGCTAAGCAAGGAGTTGGCTGACATGTATGAAAACAAGGTTTTCGATTACGAGGGACTCAGCAATGTCTTGGTAAGGACTTTTCTCTCTATTTTTTGCAGGCTGCTAATTGCTTAAATTAATATCATTGAGCAAGATAAGCCCCAGATAGAATTATGTTAAGAACAAACTAACATATTGACCTTTAGAAAACCATAGGGGCTATTAGAAGAATGTTTTCTTAACTTTTTTCTGTCTTTAAGAGGATGTGGTTTTGACCTTGCAATGAGCATGACAATATTCTGTGAAGATGTTTAGCATCCTTAATGTTAATCAAACAAGCTAACATTTGCATAGCGTGTTATCAGGCTCCATAAATTCATCACCTTTTCATTCCTGATGTAAAATTGCTGTGCATCAATGCAGACCTATAGAATGGCCTTGGTTCTGAATGACTTCTTTTAATTGCTAAGAATGTAACCAGATGGTCTTTATGTCCTTTCATATGAGAATCATCTGCCCAATATTATTTCTGCCAGTTCTCTGACATTTGTCACCATTTGTGTCTGCTCAGCTTTGGAATATGTTTACTTTTAATTTGTGTTGCACTAGTGAAAGATTTCAAGGATTCTTCTGGAATCCAAAAAACATGGTGTTGTTCTGCAGACCAGGAGATGGAGTTGATTCTGGCCCAGGCAGACCAAATATTTAACCAAGTAAATGGATAAATATTGTCTGTAAGGAAAAAAGAAATGGTAGAAAGTGTTCTGTAGGGGAGAACTGATAGATCAGCTCTTGTCACTGGGAATGTGGGCTGCAGTCTGGCAATGTCATTGAGCACTCCAGAGTGAAAATGCTGACTTCTCTTTTTCAGAAAAAACGAGCTACTTTTTATGAAAATATTATGAAGGCAATGAGACCTCAACCAGAGTACTTTGCAGTTGGATACTACGGTCAGGGTTTCCCCTCTTTCCTCCGGGTAAGAGTTGTTCAATACTCAACATCTGGAGTAGTGGGTACCCTAAAATCCAGAACTTCCAGAGCCCCCATGGAGATTTAGATGCCAAACTGTTTTTGTCCTTTGAATGCTACTGAGAGATAGGAATCCCTGAAGTATTTCAAAACTGTTCAGCATAGAAAAAAAGACAAGTTAGAGTCTGATTTTTTTAATTGTATTAACTGCTTTATTGAAGTTACTGTAATGCAGTTGGGTCTGTTAGATCGCTGTTGTGTTTACACATGAGCTTAAACAGAATCTACCTTTGGTATTAGTACCCTATAAACTACTTCAGAATTATTGTTGCTGTTAGAAAATGTGCAGCTTGTAAAGAGCTTGCCCATCTCTTTTTAATCTGAACTTTATTTTAAGGACAGAGCTCATTGCATTGCTCAAGCACATTAGTGAGAGTGTGGTCCCACGCAGAAGAATTAAAATGCAGAGATGCTTCCTGTTTGAAATTGCTGCTGAGCACTGCTGGATGTGTGCTAACAGTAACAGGAGAACCCAGCCAAAGTGAGTCAGATGGGCAGGGTGCAGCATACTAGAACATTTTCCCAACTATTATTTAAAATCAGGGAACATTTACATTTCCAGCCTGGAGTTGTTTGAAGCTGCTGTCCTTAAATCAAAGCCAAGTTTTATTAAAAATAATAATAATAATAATAAAATATATATATACATAGAACTGTGGAACTGGATGGCATAGTAAAGCTTTTGTCTTTAGGTCATGTTTTTGAATCCAGTTCTTCCACAGCCACCTCTGGTTGGTGGCCATTATGAAGAAAAATGTGCTGTGGACTTCTTTTAAGTACAGAACTTTCATGGCTGGTCGTTTTGTTTGGGGTAGCTGGAGAGAACCAGGTGTAGAACTTACAGAGAGGTCCTTCAGTTGGCTTTACCAGAAGATGGCAATCACACAATGGCTTTTGCTAAGGATGGATAGATAATCCTACTGCTGAGTTCTGCCCTTTAAAATCAGTTCCTGTGTCTTTGCTGTCCGTGTAGGGCACCCCAAAGATGTTTTGCTGTCTGATAACAAGCCTGCAAGTGTGACTTGAGGCATGGAGGGAGATGTGCACTCCATAAAACACATTATGTCTTGTGCCCAAGCATATCTGAACGAATGAACGCCCAATTGCTGGCAGTGGGGCAGTCTCTGTCCATCAGTCAAACACACTGTTGAAACTTCCTGATGGATGAATGGAACAAGCCTGGAACAGTAGCAACTGAGCTATAGGTGTTGTGGCTTACCAATGGCAAGTGTGTCCAATGTACATTCTGAAAAATATGCAACACTTCAAAGCAAGTGGGATAAAACAGAATTGCTAGAAAGCATGAGGATGTTCCATAACACTGGTGTGTGGAATAATGACTTTCTAGGCAAATATGAGGATGCCAATGCAGTGCCTTCTCCTGTGAGCTGCTGTGTTGTGAGTCTAACCTGTGTTTATTCTCTCATATGTTCTGACTGTTAAGCTAGGAGAAAATCTTTCCTATAAACGTCTGGCACTTCCTGATGCATGTTTGGAAAGCTCTTTCTCATTGCTTTTGATGTTAATTCCCTGTTTTTTTTTCTGCTGCCCACAGAACAAAATTTTTATCTACCGTGGCAAGGAGTATGAACGGAGGGAAGACTTCAACCTGAAGCTCCTCACCCAGTTTCCTAGTGCTGAGAAGATGACCAGCACTGCCCCTCCAGGAGAGGAGATCAAATCTTCTCCTAAACAGTGTATCTTTTGGTTCTAAAATGCTTTGACACACTCAAGATCTCCTTCCTGGAATTATAGAATTACTAAACAACAGATCAGTAAGCAAGGGATTTACTATTCCAGGAGAACCTTGAAGCAGACATAGTGCATGAAAATAAGATGATCCAGAACTGTAAGGGTCAGCTTAGACAGGGAGATGACTTGGTGCTGTGAGAATTAAATGAGTTGCTGTTGGAGTGAGAGCTTTGCATGTTGCAGAGAAGGATTTCTTGTACCCAGCTCTCAAGCAAGTAGTGCTAACTGCTGTGTGTGAGATCCACTTGGTTTGTCCAGGTGGAAGACATAAATTACAGGCAGTGAAGGTGGGAGGAGGGAGGTATGCTGTCTTCTTGCTTGCAGTTCACTAGCTTTTATGAAATGCCTGTTTGTTTTTTTCCTCCTATAAATCACTTTGTAAGAAACATGAAATGATTTCTTTATTCTGATGAAAGCTGTTGGGTGGGCAGCCCTTCTTTTTCTTATTCCTTTGTGCTGGTTGAACAAAGTGCTGCTAGGCATAAGATCTTTCTCTTACTTCTGAGCTTGCCCAAGTGCAATTGAGTGAAGATGCTTCCAATTCTTCTGTTTGTAACTTCTAGTCTGTGTCAGATATGCTCCTGGCAGACACATGTTAGTGAGCACCAAGCTGCTGGGCTTCTGGCCTGTGTTGTACAGGCCAGGCTAGAGAATCTGATGGTCTACTTTGGCCTTAAAAGTCTGTGTACAAAGGCGCAACTCAAGCAGTGATACCAGATGCTTCCCTTGCACTAAGCCTGCCAAGCACTCAATCCACATAGGAAATTAAAATTCATTCAAGACCAAACTTGGTATCAAAAAATGCCTTCTCTGTTGCTGCTTTGTTTCAGCTACTTCCTTTGCATCTGTTTGTGTTTGTTCTAATGGTTTTGGCTCGAGATGAACCTGAACTGCAAGATTTGGATCCAGATCTGAACTCTCCCAAAAGTTTGGGGGTGTTTGGTTCCGGGTCTTTGGCATAGCCCCGTTATAAAGGGGAGCAGCTGCATAGCTTGGATGTGGTACAGGTCCTCCTCGGACTCCTACAAACAGCATCTGAAAAGATGAGAGGTTTGAGTGCCCAAATCACTGTTATATTAGGCAGGGCTTGAAGGTTCTGTAGTTTGTTTTAATTTCATGTTTGTTTGGTTTTATGCTGGAAACCTCCTTGGTCTTGGGCTCTTTTTAACTTTTGCTTGTAATCTGTTTCCCTGCACTTGTATGATATAATGCCCTGTGCTTCCTTTGGTTGTTTCATAACAGTGTACTGGAGCTAATTAAGCTGTTCACCATCTCAGGGAATGCCTACACACACAAACTGGCCACTCTTCCACCAGTTTGGAGCTAGAAGCTGTATAGAACGCTTAGCAATGGCTCAAAGCCCAAGCTAATAAGCTCTCCTGAGAGAAGGAGTATATATTAGCTTGGGCTCAGTGCTTGATCGACTGTAGCTGTGTGGTTTTGGGTCAGGCTTGGCAAATATCCAGCTGGCTCTTCAAAGCAGGCAGGATGACCTTGCCTTTGCTTTCAGAATACCATATAGAAATATCCATGGTGGAATAAAGGGTGTAAGGGCCTGCCCTATCCACCACTAAAACATTGCCTCTTCAGAGTAGGATTGGCAGAAATGGTCTGTTAATGTGAGCCAAACTGTATTTCAATTTTCCATGTAGATTTCTATTTCTAGATTTCTACTTACATAAAGCCTTCAGTGCAGTCCTTAAAACTGAATATTGCAGGAATAACATTGTGCTTGGGGATTTTGTTACTCATTTGTCTTGAATTTCTGTTAAGGTTCACAGATGTAAAAGATGAAGATGGCATAAGTGTTCATTGGTTAAAAACAAATAACTTTATTGATCTAGAAATTGCATGGGCAACATTTTCACTGTCTTGGAAGAATCTGACAAATAATTGGACAGGTAGAGGGAAGAAATGCATGCATTACACCTTGTACAGAATCCTGTTCTCCTTTCCCTGAGGTAGAAATCTTTAGCATCCAGGCTTCCCATGCATTTCACCAGGGGAATTTAGCTGGAAGCATTCATTTAGCCCTTATCTTTTTCAGGACTTTTAGTTCATGGGTAGCATACTGACCACAACAAGCAATATGATTTCTGTTACTGTTGATCAACACTAAGTATTTCTCTTCAAACATGACAAGAGCACAGGGAATTATTGAGAAATCTGATGTTTGATGAAAACAGGGCACTTTTTCCCCCTTTCTCTTTTCCCAAAAGAATTTGTAGTTTTTCGTCCTTAACTGTAGCATCTCAGATGTGCAGTGCTTTATAGTGAAGCCTGTGATGAACCTGCCACCTAATTATAAAGACAAACCTGTTCCCGAGCAGATCTTAAAGTAATTTCTTTTCCTTTTCTCTCAGCATGTCCTCTGTATTTTACTCAGTGTAGTCACAAGATGGAGTGTCTTTTTGTCTCCTGTACCAGTTTAAACTTAATTATTTTGGGGGGGGCAGTAGAAGAATAGTGATGTAAAAAAGATGGGTGGTGAGAAAACTCACTATTGTCTCTGCTTCTTTGTAGCTACTACAGAGCAAACGAGGTGCAGCAGTTCACACACTCACGACCATTCAGAAAAGGAGAAAAGGACCCAGAGAACGAATTTGCTGTGAGTCCTTCAGTTTTAGTGCCAGCTGCCTCAGTTGTCTGTGCTGTATGCAAACTGCCTTGTGCATTTGCTTATTCTGCCCATGGCATTTTGAACAGCATTCTAACCATTTTTCTTTCACTTGTGGCAGTAGAGTTTGGCTGTTAAGGTGTTGGAGCAGCAAAGGGTTACAGTTCATGTTGATTGCAATCTTTATGCAAAAATAATGTAATATACTGAGATATTCTGTACCTGTGCTCAAATCCTTGATGTAGGATCCACAAATACTGTGGTTTTTTTAACCATGACATTCTACAGAGTGTGGTCTGGTGTCTGCTGGTGCCTGCAATTGCCTGTGGGTGATGTAGCTGTCCTTAAGGAGGCCAACATTTGACTATCAACTTCAGGCCAACTTTTAATATGTGCAGTGGAGAGTGAGCTTTGTGTGTAGGTTAATAGCATATTTCCAGTGCTGCTGTGAGGCATTCTCTGGCTCACATGTAGTGGTTGGGCATATTGCATGCAACTCTGGCTAAATGTACCATAATTGTGCCTCTAGTAATGGTTTATGTGGAAGACGACTGCCTTCTGCTGCCTATGTTGATACCATTTGTTGCCAAAACCCAGTCAGTGGAAACGAATGTCATTGTGTGAATCTTGCCAGCTTAGTGCTGGAAGCCCACGTTCCATGCTGTAGTGCAGAAGAGGATTGAATTGCAAGACCAATGTTTTCTTTACTTCTTGTAATTTTTTCCTTCTAGACTATGTGGATAGAAAGGACAACCTACACGACAGCATATTCGTTTCCAGGCATCCTCAAATGGTTTGAAGTCAGACAGATTTCAACGGTGAGTTCTGCACATAGGTTGTTTTTCACCCTCTGTGATGAAGTCTTGCAACACGATTAGCTGTTCCACCAATGGTAGGGCACCCCAAAAAGTTGTCTTCTCCTGCTTTCTCCCAGGAAGAGATCAGCCCATTGGAGAATGCCATAGAAACGATGGAGCTCACCAATGAGAAAATCAGCAATATTGTCCAGCAGCATGTCTGGGACCGGAGCCTTCCTGTGCATCCTCTCTCCATGCTCCTCAATGGGATTGTGGACCCGGCGGTCATGGGGGGATACACCAACTATGAAAAGGTCTTTTTCATGTTTATTTGTAGCTCAGTTTGACTTCCTCGGTGTTGGGGGTCTGGATTGAAGCATGGGACATCAAAGTTGAGTTTTCAGCAGTTAGTCAGATGTAGTGTTGAGTTTTAGTGGTGTGCACTGCCACGGAGTTAAGGAGTGGTCCTCCTCTTTGGGGCCATATTTACATTGGTGGTAATAATGTGGCCCTCCCTTGTGGGAGTGTGGTGAGGTGCTTAGCCCAACGAACAGTGCAAGAAACAGAAGCCAAATAGCTGACATTTCTCCATTAATACCGAATGGAAAGGTAAGTGAAGATTTTCTGTCCAGCAAATCATCTCTCACTACAGTGTTGCAGAAAAGAGCATGTATTTCAGGGGGGGAAAAGAAAAAAAGAAGGGGAATGTTTCTCATCCATGTTTATTCAGTTATTCAGTTGACATGGTGTGTGTTCCTTCCTTCTGTGATGTTAACTTAAGCTGTTTATTCCCAATATTAAGCTGTGATCTCCCAAGCAAGAAATGCATTGCTTATTTCACTGAACTGAATGGACGGTGTTAAAAGGTGTTTAATTCTTCTCAAACGTGTTGCAGTCACACAAAATGAAGTGAAAAAGTTAAATAGGAGAGGGTCTGGAATATCTGGGGTATAACTAGAGCTGCATGCTTCAGCAGTGGTGAATTTGGCCCTGAATCCTCCCATTTCATGAATTAAGGTTGACATAAAGTTTAAAATTACGAAAGTGGGAAAGCAGTTAAAACTAGGAAACACAAAGTATCTGTAACCACATCTGGAAATACTCATTTCTGGTTCACATTTTCCTATTTCAACTGGAGATCACTGCAGAACATTCAGCTTTTGTGGGCGGTTAAAAACTTAAGTTTTAATTGTTTCACTGTAGCCAAAAGCCAAAGTCTGCATTTTTAACATGTGCCTTCTTGCAATAATTAAACACTTTCAAGAAAAATCCATTGGGACTTACCCAGCCATCCTTCATGGCTCACCTCCTCTTGACATCAGCCCTTTGCTGAATCCTACCCCTAGGCCTGCAAACACTTGTGCATGCAGCCCAGTTAATGGAGTGCAGAACTTAGAAACACATGCAAAGGCTGAGATAGATCAGAGGGCGTGTTTTGGAACCAAGTGAAAAATTATGAGAGATTTTATGTAGGTAAAGAAAAATGAAATTCTTCTGACTGGGAACTGTGATACGTTTCAGTGCGATGCTCTGTAGCACGTAGTGTGAGTTGGCACAATTTTAGGATTTCAGTCGAGGGAAGTCTGTATGTGTTTGTTCAGCTTTTACACCATTGCCAAATTCTGGTCTGAAGGTACATACATGGGAAGTGTAGATGAAGGGTCCTAAACTACGAGTCAGAATCTCAGCAGTCTTATTTCTACTGACTCTTCGTAGCAAATCCCATGTGAAAGTGTTGTACATCAGGACTTAAATCTCAAGGAATCCATAGGGAACACATGTTCTGCTCACCTTTCTGAGACTCCAGTTATTTGCATATCTTTGTGTACTGTAGGTCACTGAGTGCTAAAACAAAGTGAGAATACGCTGAGACTGATTCTGCTGCTCATGTTTGGGTGACAAGTAACATAGCTTTGATTATTCAAGCCAATACCAGCAGAGGGGAGTTTTGTAACTTACAATTTTCACTGACAATATAATGAAATCTGCATTGATGAGCTGGCTCTGCAAACAGCATCATGTCTGAATCATATTTTCCCTTTGTTTCAGGCCTTTTTCACAGAGAAATATCTTCAAGAACATCCTGAAGATCAAGATAAAATTGAACTCCTTAAGCAATTGATTGCCCTACAGGTATCACATTGGCAAAGATAGAGATGCACTATGTATGAGTGCAGGTGTTTTTCCAGCGTTGTATTTGGAGAGAGAAAATGCAACTAGATACTCTGAGAGCAATCTCTATATGTGTAGAATTGATTTTTATTTTAAGAGCAGCTATACTCTAAAATTGTGGCCTAGAATGTTCCATGTGCACTTACAAAACATTTTTTTTAACTTTTCCTGAAGTCATTGAGCGTAATGTTTTCTCATTCTGACCATTGAAAGTTGTTTGTTTTCATCTGCATAGCAATGAAAAATTGCTCTGAATTTGCAGATCTGTAAATGGCCCCACAGACCAATTTGTGTATACCTCTGTTCCAGCAGAGTGCAGTTAAGGCTGCTTCACAGTCACACAGCTCTGGAAGCTGAGTTGTGATGCCTGAATATTTAACGTGCCATGTTTCCCTGAGTGTGGAAGGGGGAACCATTGGTGTAGATGGGGTTCATATTTCTTGGTAATACACACACACAACTGAAACAGACTGTCAGGTTATTGTAGTATCACAAGTTATGAGTCAGTAACTGAATACCTTGATTGCTTTTTACTCCTCTGCAAACTTAAAACATACTGAATCAAGTCCTTTGCTTGTATCTGAGATGTATGACATGCATAGAAGATTCCTTGCTGGAGCAGGAGATCAGATTTGCCCTTTCATATCTTTATGTTGCTCCTGCTCTCAGATGCCATTGTTAGCAGAGGGAATAAGAATCCATGGCGAGAAACTGACAGAGCAGCTGAAGCCTCTGCATGACAGACTGACAGCCTGCTTCAAAGAGCTGAAGAAGAAGGTGGAGAAGCAGTACGGTGTAATAACTTTGGTAAGCATAGTCTGATGTTTTGCCTCGAAGAAACACAGCTCTGCCGTGCAGCTTCTGAATTCACATTGTGTGATTTGTCATGGATGTGTTTCTCTGCAGCCTCCCTCCTTGACCGAAAGGAAACCAAGCAGGTCAGGCTCTGTCGTGTTGCCCTACATCATGTCTTCCACGCTGAGACGGCTCTCTGTCACATCTGTGGCCTCTTCTGTGGTCTCTACGTCTTCCACGTCGTCTGATAGCACTTCCTCCAGGCCAGGTTCAGACGGGTGAGTAGTCAGCCTTTGAGTAAGAATATGCCTTTGCTGTAGAATGGTTTGTTTCTTTCAAAAGATGAGATTTTTCTAATGTAATTAGAAAAACCTGGTCAAGTAGCAGATCTGGAGGTTGGTGGCCCTGCCTGTGGTTGGGGGGTTGGAACTTGGTGATCGTTGGGGTTCCTTCCAACCCAGGCCATTCTGTCATTCTATGAATTGGTTACTCTTAAAATGAATGACAGGTTTAATCATAAAATGCCTGTCTGGCTCCCTCTGCCAGTGGATCGCACTCTGTCTTAATAAAAAAAAGAATAATACTCAAAATTGCTTAAGCAATTTAGAAGCACAAATCTCGCTGAAAATTCCATGGTCCTAGTTCAGTTTTTTATGGTAACCTGTTCTGCAAAATATGAGATAATGGCTTTTTGATAGTGCATGGAATGTCTGATGATGGAGTACTATTTTGTGTTTTTTCACTCCTTTGGGGTGGGCTGAAGATCTATTCTGGAGCCTCTCTTGGAGAGAAGAATATCAACAGCTTCCAGAGCTGAAGAGCTGCCCATGAAAGAAGATGGTGATAACAGGATTTGCAAACTGAAGCGAAAGGAGTGGAGTATCAGCAAGTCTCAAGTTATTGTAGAGAAGGAGCCAGAAATGGAACTGACTTCCAAAATGGTAACGCAACAACAAGAGAAGAATAGCAGTAATAAAATCCCAGCAGGAGATTTGTGTTTCCATTCCTTTCAGCCATGTTTGTCATTGGGAACTTCATTAAATAATGGGAGGGGTTCAAATACCAAAAGCTTGGTCATCTGAGTAATTCCTGCTTTTTTATTTGGAATATTTGTGTCACAGACCAAACTGCAGCTTGACTTAAAGTACAAAAACTGGAAGCATGAGGCAATGATGTTTCATCTCAGTTCTCTCATTTCTTCTAGGAGATGGAGGACTCCAATACACTCAGAGCTGTGTAGAACTGTTCTGTTTGTATTGGAGCAAGCAGATATTGCTAGCCCACACAAAAATGCAGCTGGCAAGCCAGATGTTCAGCTGCTGTCAGTCAGCATCACTGCGCAAATCAAATGTACTGCATCAGTTTGGTACTTTGGGGAGATGAAAAAAGATGGTGTGCTTGTTAGGTCATTAGCTTGGCACTTTGAAAAACAGGTTTTCCAAGTCAGCATTGTGCTCCAGACCTCCTGCATGAGAGCAGGAGTGTTTATTCCATGAGAGAGGTTTTTGCAAAGGAAGAATAAAAGAGAATTATACCCCTACAGCTAAGACTGTGTTGCACTGTCAGAAAGTATGCAATAATGAGGCTTGTTAGTATTTAAGCTGGTGGCTCAGTGATAGTGATTTGACACAACACAAGTTGTATAAATAATAAAAACCCATCAGCTCTTCTGATTTCCCTTTCCTTGACCAGATCTCAGATGGATCTGGCAGGAATGGGTTATGTTGCTATAGACTGAGGAATTCTCATCAAATCTGAGCGATGCTGCCAGGACATTTCTGAAGAAGGGGAAGTGTGGTTCTAGAATCTTGCCATTTGGTGTTGATATGAAAATCCGGGATTGTAAATATTAATGATTCAGGAGGCCTGGCCCTCTGCCTTTGGAAATGGTGCTGTTGAATTAAATGGGTTTAACCCACAAATCGTGATGTCAGTTGCTGTCTGCTTCATTAAGTAAAGCTAGATGGAAAGTTTCTGGCAGAAAGCCTGTTTTATTGACCGGTTCCCTGGGACAGTAAGGCATGTGTGTGCAAGACTTTGCTTTGCAGAGAGCTGAGAGATGCAAACCAGAACACCCACCCAGCCTTCTCAGCATCTCTCTGAGGGCATGTTGCATGTGTGATAAGCTTACTGAAGTATATGAGCAGTTAAGGGTTATACTCATGCTGAAGAATGTTGCAAAGTATACAGAAAGCTTTTTTTAATAGCTGGTTTGTTCCATGTCTGCATAGTACAGCACAGGAATCAGGCAGAGTGATTTTATGCAGCTCTTGAATAAGAGCTGTGTGGGAGCCAGAAAGCCAGAGGGAACCAAAGGCTTACTGTATGTCCAGCAGCTTTGGGCTCTGTTCATTTTATATTCACTGCACACCAATGTGCACTCCTTAATGTGCAGTGAGAATTACTCAGTGAGAATTGATCTCCAGGAGTTCAGTGAGTTTAATTACATATGTAAGCATGACAGCCTTCTCTGTAAAGCAATAAATAATATTTAAAGAGACTTGGATGTGTTCAGGACTCTCCAGTCCATGTTCAGAAAGAATAAATTTCACCTTTGTCTACTTGGCTGGAATGTCCTTTTGAGTGCCTCTGTGTTCAGGCATGCAGTGCTGTTAGGAAACCTGGGCCCTGGGATTGAGGTGGAATTCAGATGGCCGAATGAAGCTTTTGATGTCTCTTGTCTTACTGACACATTTAATTAATAGCGCTGTGAGGAGGCAGGTTTGCTAATTGGAGGCACTCTGAGTCAAGCTGGCCAAAGCACCACCTATCACTGCAGTTACCACCAAGCTGAGTGTGGTGGTTGGTTGTCCACCTAAGGACCCCTGCACAGCTGTAGCACTTGTGACAGTTGGAGTGGCTCAGTTTACCCCTTGGCATCAGTACATAGATGTCATTACAGCCATTTAAGTCAGCTGGTTGGGGCTTTGGGAAGAGGTCCTCAAAGATGCTGGGTGCCAGCTCCTCTTTAAAATGGCTGTAGGTTTCCTTCCCTGGCATCTTCCTTTTTTACTGTATATATTGATGTCATTAAAAACAGTTTAGTATTGCTACCCGTTTCCTGAAGTCCCAGAGAATTCTGAATGTGTCACAGGAGCACAGTGGATGCCTTTTGACATCTGGCTTAGCCAGAGCTGTGGTTTCACCTGAATGCACCTTTCTCTCTTACACAGAGCTCTCCTGGAGCATCTTGGTGCCTCTGTGACAGGTCTGATGATCTGATACGTGTGCAGCAACTTTGCTGACTTCTGAAGGCTTTGTTTACTCTTTGTTTTAAGCAGAGCACGTCAGGAAAAGCTCAAAGGCCAAAGAGTCTTCAGTTAGGAGACAGCAGGCTGACTTTGCTTCAGAGTTCTTCTCTCCAGCAGTCAACGCCTCTCAGCCCACCACCCATCACTCCCAAAACCCCAAGAACCCACAGTAAGTTCTGTAATACAGCAATTGAGCAGTATGGGTTAATGTAACTTTGCTGAGGTCACCTCAATGGGGAGGGAAGGAGGGAAGTAAATCAGGTGGGATGATGTACTGTTGGAACACCTGTAGTGAATCCACTAAAAGGAACTGCATCGATGCTGCGTGGTCGCTTTGTTTGGATTCTGAGCAGGTCTCTGGCTGAATAGCACAACCCTGCAGGCTTTGTTAAACATTTTAAAGGAGATAATGCTCTGCAGCTTGGGCACTCGCCTAGGTAATGTTACACTTGAAGGAAGAGTTTATCTTGAAGAATTAACAAACTGAGTAATTAGCAATCACCTCTGCTAGGCTGTGTTGTTAATTCTGAAGCAACATATGAATAAATGACCAAGGTAAAAATGCAGCTGTGTTCTCACCACTGCCGGCTTCCTTGCTGTTCTTGGTGTGAAGTTTCTCACTCTACTACTGCTCTGTTTCTTAAATGGATAGAAAATCATATGTAGGATCATCTTCTTACGTGGATATAAATTCAGAATCCAGTGTTTCTGAATAATGAAGTGAAGAGCATAAAACCTGTATGGGAGGTTTAAGACAAAAACTACTTAATTGGGGTAAGGGAGTAGGGAGGAGAGAACCAGGAATACAAACAAATGTAGAAATAATACGTAAAGAGAGCTGTGAAAGGAATACAAAACCTCACAGCAGGCCGTTTTAATTGCCATTAGTAGCAGGACAGCTTCCCAAGAATTTTTCTGAAGTTTCAGCACTTATCTACCCCATCAACTGGAGTTAAAATCAAAGTGAATTCTCAGGTTGAGGCCCTGGCTGAAAGGAAACCCCAGTGAACATTGCAGATGTGATAATGGATTCAATTTTCTGTTCTCTCAGGCATGCAATTTTCACATAAGCTTAGATTCATTTGATGGAGACGGAATTCTTTGGGGCATTTTGAACTTAAGGGAGATAAAACTTTGATTCTACTTTGACATCTCTTTTCAGATTTGGCTACTAGAACAAATACATGGTCAATTCATTTTCCCATTCCTTTTCCTCCAACTTTAATGCCTTGTCTTACTCTTCTTCTAGGTTTTCCCTCACTGCAGTCGGATGGATTGCCAGCTGCCTGCCTGCAGAGCACCCCACCCCCACCTCCTCCCAAGAGCAAACCCTATGAGAACAGCAACCCGAGGAACTCTGTGGAGGTAAGGAAATGAGAGCTGACATTTCTCTGGAAGGCAGCATTTGAGAAAGACACCAGTGGAATTTTCCAAGCTGCTTCTCAGATGGTGCTGCTTGGAACTTGTCTAGTTGTTTTACTGGTTCACCCCCTGAAACCACAGAAGAATAAGAAATTTTGAGAGAGAGCTGTCAAATGCAGCCCTATTTTCAAGTGGTGACTCTGCTGTCCTTGATTAGGCAAACTTTGTGGGGTGGGGCAGGGAAGAGTTTCCAAAACATGATCAACGTGTAAAATAGTACAGTAATCTGGTCCAGAAAAAGAAGAGTTTACATACTGCCAGAGGTGGATTTGTGGAAATATTCAACTCGTGCCCTGCACAGAATAAGTCAAGCATCCCAAATCTTTAAACTGGCTTCTGTTTGAAGTCAAAATGTTTTCACTATATGCCTTCCTAATGCATAACTCACACCTATTAAATATTCAAAGGATTATGTAAGAACAAGATTACATAGCATAGTTGAGTATTCTGCTGTTGTGTGGGGGTCTTCTGTGGCCATTTGGGGAGGTATCCCACTCCTTGCTTCATCCATAATAGGTACAAGGACATTTAATCTCTTCCGATTGGTTCCTGTTCTGGATTTGTGCCTCATCTCAGGGATGTCTGTCCTTTTAGTTTCTTATTTATGGCATTCTTGGGTCTTCGAAGAGAAACGTTCCATCTTGGGAAGGTTGTTTATAGAAAACAAAGTAGAAAAGCAACATATCTGGAACTCAAAGCAGAGCTTCAACCTCGCGTAAAATGCCTCAGCCAGGCAGAAATGTCAGATAATCAGCACTGGGGACATCAGTTGTGTCAAAATCATTTCACCAGCCCCTGAAATGTTGCTGCTTCTGATATGAATGTAGTTGCTTACCACTGTGCAGCACAGTTCCTTTTGGAGCCGTGACAGCAATGTCTTTCCCAGTGCTGCTTACAATTGTGGAATACCTGAGTAACAAGAACAGATCTTCACCAAAAACAGTGAATTTGAAGAGTGATGACACTTCCCAAATGCGTTACTTCCACATCACAGAAAGACAGTGCAGCAGTTGATCATTTATTTCTCAGTGACAATGGCATAAAGTCTTGAAACGTGGGATAAGTGGGATGTTTTCTGCTCAGAGCTTCATTTGCAAATAGACCCTTCTTCTCAGAAGGGGCATTGTGACTGATGTAGGTGGTGTGGATGGCGGAAATGTGCCAGCCCTGGGGATGCTGTGGGAGTTACTGGTTCAAGAGGATTAATGAAAGAGCCCCTTTCCCTTGAGTCTTGTAAGAAAACTAATTACTAACATGCTCTGGCTCACAACGTTGACCTTGGCTTATAGCCAAATAGGATGAATTTGAAGGGCTGTAAAGAGAAATTGTAGGAGTGTTTTCTGAGGCGTTTTGCTCCTTTTGCTGTTGATGTAATGTTGTGTGTGTCCTCATTTGGTTAAAATAATCATGAAATCTTGGTGGTTTCAGCTAAGCAAGGTGTGAACAACGTGAGTTGCTTCTTCATTTGGCCTTCACTTTTCATGTGTTTCCAGGATGTGCCTTGAAACAAAGGGCCAATTTGAAAGGACCCATTTAGTGTGGTTTTGTGCAAGAACAACAAGAATTCCACAACCCCATGTGTTGGGCAGGAACTCTGTGGCTTGTTGCAGCAGAACTTTGTTTTCTGCCATTTTATGGAGTTAGTTGCACCATTCTGATTTGGAAGCATTTTACATCCCTTTGGTGTGCAGTGCAATTCACCAGGAGGTCAAGCCAGCAAGAGAAAAATGGTTGAATCCCAAAACGCTGAGAAATGGGTTTATTTCCATTTTACTGATAAAACTTGGGACACTGGGCAAATAACTGACTCAGTCAGGCTGTGGGTCGGAAGCAAGCAAAGCATATTTACAACTAAAGACTTCTCTAACAACTATAACATGTCTGTTTTATTACCTCCGGGGGATGTGTCCTCCTTTGCCCCTCTCATTGATTGCATGAAGAACTGAAAGGATGAATTCAGAGATGTGATCCTGAAAGAACAATCAAGAAGCACAGGAGTTTTTGCTTTGCTTCTGTTTGGTCAAGCAAAATGTCTTTACTTGCCTGGTAATGGTTTGTTTTTCCTGTGTGTCTTCATTTTATCTTCTCAGGTTGCTCCACCACTGCCGAGCAGACGTGAATCCAAACCTCCCCCTCCACCCCCAAAAACCAGAAAATCCAGTGTCCTCTCGTCAGAGCAAGGACTGCAGTGAGGATTATTACTTGCTTATCTAACAGCAAGTACCTAGAGAGAGATGGCTGCTTTCTCTTCACTGACGTGCTGGGGTTTTCTCCCCTAAAGACTAGTGATCTCAGTTGCCATTCCGTTCACTTCCATTGAAGTTGTCCCTGGGAAATAGCAAAAGGAACTCTTAGTCTAACTATATTCCCAACCTCTGTTTTATCTTTCCAATAATGAGACACTAATCACAGAAGGGAAGAAGTCAGCCTACTGGGATTCTATATTAGCCTTGTCTATCCTGAATTTTTTCACTGATGCAATTTCAGCAGCTCGTTCCTAATGTAAAACTATCACAGTAGTGATTTGAAACCAGTGCTTAACCGAGGTAAGCCACACCAGTATGAGATGTCTTCTGCAGTATTTTCACATGGGTTCATCACAGCTTTATGCTAAAGCACAAATTCCTCCTCCTGTCGCTGTAATCAAGCACTGATTTGCATGAAGTGAGACGGATCGCAGCCATGCAGTGTCAGGTGTTGCTGTGTGATGTGTGGTCTCCTAAGATTCGTGATTGCAGGCAGAGACCTGAGCATTGTTAGCAGGATAAGAAGCCTCTTTTCTGCTACTCATCATATGTATTGAAGATGAAGTGCAGACGTTCTGCCTTACACGTCTCTGCTCAAGTAGTGGCAGTTGCTCACTCCCAATGGGGAGTTTAGGTTTGCCAGTACTTAATCATAGTTTCACTGTTGGTTCTGGTTTTAACACTACAGAGCAACTGATATCCCTTCCTTTGTTGTATTGCTACTTTATTTTGCACCTGGGACAAAGACTTCATCTTCTTGCTTTTTGAATAGGGTGTAGAAAGTGACTTTTCTCCTGTGAATGTCTCAAAATGGACAGAGGTTGTGTTGATACCAGCACTGTATTGATACCAGCAACCTGGGGAGGATGGAGTGTGTACTGTAACACTTACTTTGGCTGGCCAGATCCTCACAAATAGAAATAAACATCATGCTCCTTCTCCCCCTCCCCATTTAGGGCAGTACTTGCACTTTGTTTTGTAGCCTCCCTTGGTCTGAGTTGTTCACAGCCACTAGACTTTAAGGAACCACTTGGATCTGGGATTTGTGGAAGACTTGACAATCAACCACCATGCTTCCTGTGCTTGGATTATTCCAGCTCTGCAGCTTTTTTTTCCTTGGAGAACAAGATAATTATGTTATTTATAAGTATGTTATTAATCTGCTTAATTATTCTCTTTTAGTTATTTATTTCCTGCTCTCTCAGGATGTCAACAACAGTCTTCATTTTATTTATTCTGAAGAAGAAAAATGCCCTGATCTTGGGTTTTAATTTTTAACCTTTTAAAATTCCTGCCTTTTCTCAGCCCTATAGCGACCAAAGATAGAGCACCAATATCTTTACTTCATATGGACCACATGGGCTTTGTGCAGTACTTGGGCTGGAAGGAAGTTCAACTGAAAGTTGTCTTGCAGCGTGCATTTCAGCACTGTTCTACCACAGAATTGTCTAGATCATCCCAGCAAGAGCTTCAGCAGCCCTTTCTTACCTTGTGGAGCAGGACCTTCCTAAACTCCCCATTTCAGAACTTGTAAGGAACATCACTGTTATCTTTTCAAGCAGCATAATTGTAACTTTCTTATATATCCCCCCAGAGTTGTCACTGCCACGTGGTGCCACATTTATTTCATCCAGCAAACAATATTGCTTGTTACCTGTCACTGTCATTAAACTCCTGATTATTGGGTATAATTTATGGAGGTGCATTTAAATCCCTGCTGGGGATGTTGCTCACAAGATACCATTTTTTTGCTGTGGCTCGTTTCTTACAGACCACTGCACCAATCTTCTGCTTACGTGACTTAAGTGAGTTTTATTGCCTTACTGAAAAATTCGAGTTGTTTAAGATAGGCTTTAATTAGGTTTAAACTCTTTTTCAGATTAAAAAGGAAAGAAACCCTATTCTGGCCATGAGGACCAAAGTTGCCCTTTCGCTTGTTCTTATGTGTTCCTTTGCCTTCTGTGTGACTCCAGTTAAGGAAACCTGCAGGAGCTGCATTTATTTTGCTGTGTGTATGGCTCTGCAAACAGATTGCACTCATTAAGGGGTCAGATCAGATTCCCATCACAGAGCAGGATGGAGAGCAGGATGAAGTTGCACTGCAGTCACAGTTGTGCTCACCACAGCTCACATGCAATTGTCTTCTGGGCTGTTGCCTTCTCAGGGGAAATCTTTGAAACCTTTCTGGACAACCTGAGCATGTTTCAGTGCCTCTGCTGTGTGTTGTAGGACTTGTCAGCTCTGCATTACATTCCTGACCACAGATGCTGCCTGACTGGAACACCACAGGGTTTTCTCATCTTTCATTTTTCTCCACTTCTCCCTCTTCTTGTAAGCACTATCTCCCTTCTGCTGCTGTTGCACAACCTGAAGGATCCTCTGAAGCTCTTCCCTTGAACAAGAACTTTTGTCTTCACATAGGGTGAGGTGTGAGCAATAGAAACCTACACCTTAACACCACCTTTTGTAATTCAGTGCCTTGCCTTGTTCCCTCATTCTGAGGTGCTTTTCCTTTCCAGAGCAGGTTTGCTTTTAACTCCTTTGGTAAGGCAGCAGGAAGCTCGGCTGTCATGGGCTGACAGCACAGTGATCTGGTTTGGTTGTTTCAATTCTAAGTGGCATTTGAGTCATAATTCCCTGCTTTTCTGATCTGTTTTATTAACTTCAATTTGTACCTTGTGCAGCCAGTGGATATTTTTCCTGTAGCAGGAAGCTAGTCCATGCAGAAAGGCCTCAGTGGGGGAAGCCTGACCTTGGGAATAGTTCTTCAGTGTCCCTTTATGCAATGCTTTTGAACTTGAGGATGTTTGGTTCTGCCTGCTAGTCAGTATTTCTGACTGTGAAGAGTTCTGTTCTTAGCTGATACAAGTCAGCAGAGCCTCCATGGAGCCACACGATGGGATTTCTGTGCTGTGCCCGAGTGATGTGGGCCTTCATTTGGGCCAGTTTTGGAAAACAGCATTGTCCTCAGCATTGGGTTTTTAAAAGCAATTGGGCATTTAAGTGTGTAAATACAGGGCCTGGCTGGTTTTAATTAAGGAGAATTTGGTGCAAAATTCTACCAGACCTCTGATTTAAAAACCTTTTTTTTAAATTAAAATATACTGCTCTTTGCTACAAGTTCTGATATTTAATCTTCAGAGACTGTTTAAGATCTCACTAATTCATTTTCAAGACGAAAATCAGTTTTTCACATCACTCAATGTCATTGAAAGCATAGGGCTGAAGATGGGAGTCCAGTGGTGATCCATAATGGAGATCTCCACGCAGCAGAACTGAAAGCAAACAGTGGCATTTGTACCGAGCTCCTGGCTTTGGGTAAGATCAGGTTCAGTATGCAGTCTGCAGAGGAGACGAGATCTGAATCCCATCTCAAATCCACGCTGTCCACAGCTAGCAGTGAATTCTAAGTCATAGAGAGAGGATTTTTTTTTCCTTTGGAGAAATATGCTCAACACTTATTTTCTGGAGCTTTTAATTAAAACTCATCACGCTGTGATAAATTCCTTTAAAAATGTTACAGGCTCTAATCCGCATCAGGGAAGAGAGAAACAGACAGCTTTCCATTTCAGTGGATTATTGGATTAGGAAAGGACACCGATTCCACTGAGAACAGCTCTGTGATCTGCAGCAGCAGAAATGCCATCGTGTGCCTGTAGCAGTTGTTGAGAACCTGTATCCAATCCCCACCACGCTGTGCAGCCCACGAGCAGCAGGTTGAACTCGTAGTGATAACGGCTCGGATTTCCTCTCCTTATTTATTTTTATAATTGTAAATGGAAATAAGAAGTTTTGAAATGTCTGTAACTTAACCGTAGCCTTTTTCTCAAATGTAAAAACATTCCTGACTACCACTGGCTACCATTTTTTTTGTTTCTTTTAATTAAAAACTTCTCTGTCTGATGTTTACCATTGCAGAGTACATTATCTAGTGAAATGGCGTGGGCTTTTTCATGGACTGAGTCAGGAGAAAAACAAACCACACAAAGATGTGATTTCATTTCTTGCACAGTAGGAGGTGGGCTGTTCAGAAGCACGTCAGGTTCACCCAATTCTGCTCCTGTTAATGTTCTCATTAATCTTCGCAGTGCGTTGCAGAGTGTATTTAACTGGTTTTGATGTGAGGATGGATATCCCAGTTGGAGCAGAATGAGGTTCCTGGCGTGGTGCAACCCCAGCATCCCTGGTGTCAGTGGATGTAGTCATTCCCTGTTGGAATTGTAAAGATTTTAATGACATGGGGAACCACAGGACGTGTTTGTCTTGAGTTCAGGAGAACATGGGTGTTGTGTAACATGTCCTTGTTAACATTTAGAGATGCTGTGTGTGATGGTTTCGTTAGGAAACAGCCACCTCTCCAGGCTGCAAATCCTTTTTTCCTCTTTTCATCCTCTGCAGTTGAAGCAGCAGAAAATACAGCTTTTAAACTGTCTCTGAAGGAAGGGTAGGAACTAAGCGTGGGGAAAGGAGGCTGCATCTCTCTGGGTAAATGCCATAGGATTATATGGCAGGGTGTATAATTTTTTTTTTTAATGTATTAACTATTGTAAAGTTTGTAAATAACTTTTTAATATAAATGTAGTTTTTATGTGTGAACCAGTAAAAAAATGAAGCATACGAAAGTCTTTCATGTGTGGTCTACTGATGTGTGAGCAGGATTCCATTCCAGCAGTAAAATTATTTGTAATTTGTAATGAAGTTGTATTACTGTTGCGATCAGACAGGGCCCAGGCATTGTGCATGGGTGTGAAACAAAACTTGTCACTGCCAAGTTTTCATTGTAGAATGCAAAGCCAACCCCATGGAGCGATTCCCCACCACTGGACTACAGCGTGTTTTCTTTTACCTACAAGCAAGTCATGTAGACAACAGTATCTTCAACTGTTCCCAACTGATTTCACAGTATTTATTCACATATTGCAATCAAAGCAGAGACAGGAGGAACTCTTTTCAATGTTGCTTTGAAATTTTATTCTGGGTCTGTTGTTGACTTTGTGGATTTAAATCTTCTTTCTTCTGGCTTCTCCTTCGATCAGGCTTGCCTGTAAGCACACACCATATACTATTTTAAAAGAGAAGAAAGAACTTTGATGATGGAATTTTAAAGCCTGCTCAGATGCTACATATTCCTGTTGAGGTCTCCGTTGGAAGGAGGATTAAAATGACATAAATCTGACCTGACGTGATCTCTCTGCCACCTGCCCATGGATCTGATCGTGCAGTATAATGTAACTGACACTTATAATGGCCCTTTTCATCCCAAAGTGCATGACCAGCTTTACATCTGTTAAGGGGCCCAATGCCACAGCAGCTCTTAGAGGGCAGCCCAGCAGCTGCAGAACACTGTTTTGGCATGAGCTTACACAAAGCATCACTATGCAAAATGGCTCATCAATTTAAGCAGCTGGCCAAGATACCAAGGACAAGAAAGCTTGCTACAGGGTGGGACAGTTGTCCTGTTCCATGTCTGTATATGTGAGGAGTTCTTGAATGGAAACAGAGTTCCTGCATCACATCCTGCTGGACCTGGTCTCCTATTTGTGCATCTATTTATGTTGTTCCCTCGGAACTGAAAGCCCCAAGGTGTTTTGAGTAGAGGTACTCAGTATGTTATTCTTTCCCTTTTGTATCTCAACTCATTGTATTTCTGTGCTCATTACTGGCAGCTCCAGGAAGTGATGAAGGCAACCTGAAAAGCTGTTTCCATGGGCTGCTTCGTTTCCTGACACCTCCCCTCTCATTGCATAATGCTCCTGTGTCAACTTCAGGAATGCGTTAACGTTGGAAAACCTACATCTGGAAAAGCTTTAATTTGTTGTCAGCATCATTAAGCAGCTAGAAGTAAGAAAGCCACACATTTCAAGCTATACCACAGGAACAAGGTATGCCAAGTGTGTGTTTGAGTGTGAGGTGAGAGTTACGCAATTTTTTTTGTTTGGGCTTCAAAAATTAATTGTAGATGGAGAGTTACAACTTTAGGACAACTCGGAGATATTTCCCAGAAAGTGAGGACCATCTGGGCAGGTCAAGGTGCTGCTATATTGTTTGAAGAGCACTCTTCTGCTTGAGAGTGTTGTTTCTGTGGCAGATCGTGTGTATGTGAAGTCTCTGCTGTCACTGCATTAGAGCATCTAATGGAAAATACATTTCCCAGTCCAGGGACCTTGGGAGCAGCACTTCCATATGGCTCAGTCCTTCAGCTGGCAAAGCGTGCCTTTGAAGTTAAGCATCTGCGAATGCTGCCTACATTTGTATGAAGGAAGTACTTGCTTTACTTTATTTTGGTTTTAATTCAGTCAGTAATGACATAGTTACAGCAGGAGCATCAAGATTAATGTGATCATATTCTAGCGCCATAACTTGGATGTACTGAGAGTGATGCAAAGCTGGGATTGCCACGTGTGAACTAAGCCTTCCTGCCTCTTCTCCCCCACCACTCACACCCCTCCACCCCGTGCTTTCCCAGCCTGGACTGGTCTGAGATTTTCCCACAGCAATAAGAGAAAAACCACCTTACTTACCATGGTTTCCTTCAGATTGCTCAGCCTGGGATGCTGGTATGATCCAGAGCATTCAGCCTTCTGCACTTCCCCAAGATTTTCCATTTCGTTTGCAATCTGAATGGGGAATAAACACATCTTCCATGAAAACAGATTTTTGTCCTAAGGCAAATCTCCCCAGGTTAAAGGCAAAGTTTCCACTGCACAGTGGAAACTTCCCTACATGTTACACACATGCTGTAACAGCTGTAGAACGTTGGAACTGTAGTTACAAGGGAGTACACGTGAAATATTAGAAAGCATAAGAAAAGCCATTGGTGGACACCCACCCATTGGTGGAAACCTTTCCCATCTGTTTTGTGGTTTGAGTCCTTCAGTGAAGCACTTGCCATCGAATCCCACACCAGCTGCCATTGCCACATTCTCATGGAGATGGATGGATGTTGTCACAAAGCAGCTGATCAGAAGGGCAGCTCAAACAAGGGACGGTGAAATCAGGTTTCACCTGGAATCAGGCTTCCATCCCTCCTTTAGAGCAAACTGACGAAGCTTTCTGTCTGTCACAGAAGCACTGCTGTGTGTGCAAGGCTCTCAGTTATCACCGAACCATCACAGCACGATCTGCTTTCCAGCTCCTACTTGACAGCAAGTCTACACGTGTATGTGTATAATACACACAAGTGTGTTGAGAGAGAGATAAAGTCTGTCACCTCTGATACTGCCATATGGCTTTTTGCTTGCATCTAGTACAGATAAGGGATCGTAGCAAGAACAAGAGCTGTTTTACAGCCCTGAACTTACCTCTTGAAACGATTCCATCAGATTTTCGGTGTCTCTTTTTCCTCCTGGTTGCAGGCCATAAGACCAGTGTTGAGCTGAGCAGATTGCCACAGACGTGGTAAACAGGAGGACACCAACCAAGATCTTCCTGGACTTCTCCATTCTGTGACGAGAGAACAAAGTGTGTTTCTGATCCTGTGTCATCACAGCTCAACTTTTATCTTACAGAATCATGGGAAAGTTTCTGGAGTGGATCTTCAGCTCCGAGCTCCTGCACCCCGGTGGCGCTGTGCCTATGCGTGGGTCACAGCTGGGTTCTGAGCCCCTCAGAGCGTGGGTTAGCTCATCACAAAGAGATCTGACATCTGAGACATTTGGATGGAGATCTAAATTAGGATTTTTGAGCGCCCTTTCAGAGCTTTAGGAACGCCTGGACCTCAAAGGTTCAGTGAAAATCCCTGTTGATATTTGACAGATGGGTTTGGTGTAGCCAGTTTCTGTTCTAAGAAGTGCTCTTTGCAGTGCCTTCTAAGGCAAGTTCCTTCCAGTGCAAGCATCTTAAGGACTGAAAAGGTGAAATGATACAGCGTGCTGTTCAAGTACATTACCTGCTCGCTGACAGAGGCTGCAGAATCGCTCCAACTCTTCCCCGCTGGAAAATGTGCTGTGAGTTGGCTTGTTGTCTTCCTTTATATCCAGCCACCCCACCACCAAACCCTTCACAGCAGGTAACGCTGCCTCATTCTATCCTACAGACTGCAATTTTGTTCTTAAAGTCGCTGTCGTGGACTAAAGAAGTAAAGCACATAATTGGAGCAGCTGGGTGTAGCTGTTACCTACAGCTGTTTTCTCTTACAGACATGAAAGTTACAGCTTTCCTTTTAAGAGGCCGTAAACCTGATGTTCAAACCTAGCTGGCTGCTGTTGCCCCATGGAAAATAGACGGTCTTTCAATGGCTTTGGGTTTTTTAGCAATAAGCAAAAGCTCTTGTGTGGGTTTGAATTTCTGAAGAGTGCCTTTCAGGGGTTGAAATGGATGAGGAATTTGGTTTTCTCTCTGTATCAGAAGGAAACAGACCTTCAGAGCATAAACAAGAGGTTGCACAAGCATGTGGCACTTTGCACGCTCTTCTGTAAGTCCTTAATGCTTAAATAAAAATGCCTTCATGTTCTGTGCTCTATAAAATGCAAAGCAGTACTAAATGGATCAAATAGACACGATGATGAGGTTGTGAACGTGCTGAGGAAGGGGATCTCTTGCTTGAATAGGACCCTCTGTATACACGTAATGGAGAATCCTGTTCATATGTATATATATACGTATATAGATACACACATATATATGGGTGTGTGAAGTTAGGCATCAAAACACTTTTGGAGCTTTTTTGTTCTTGAGACTTTGTGCACTGCAGCTTTTGAAGAGGTCATGGTAGCCATCTGCATTCAGAAGTCAAATTCAATAATTTTGATGGCAGAAACCTGATTTTTTTTATCCACCTGGCCACTGTTTTGATTTGCTCTGCACTGTTTTATGTGCAATTCGATGTATCATGTTTAGTGGTCTTTAAACATCCTCTCTTCCTGCCCCCGTGACCTCTTTGAGATTAATGGATTAAATGTAATTTAATAAGTAAATAGTTGGAGGAGGATTTAGTGACTGTAGCAAAGAGCAATTCTTCGTGCTGTAATGCTCCTATTCACAGCAAGAGGAGCCAGCAGTAGTTCAGCTGATAAACTGATCAAGCTGTGAAAATAGTTGGTTTCAGTGGGAGAAAGGTTACCTTAGCGTAGGCAGATCACTTAAGAAGGGAGATTTTCTGTTTTATGACTACTTCCTTCCCTGCTCTTCCTAGCAGAAATTAACATTACAAAGGAAATGGAAGATTTTGCTCATCCTGAAAGATGGCATTTAAAGAAGGGAAGGGGCCTGCTTAGCCAGGTAATTGCACCTCTAATTAACCCACCATCTGAAGCCAAGTCTGCCAACCTGCCCTCGCTGGCTGCCAGCAGCTGTGCTTCTCAGTGGGTCTCCTTAGAGCCTCTCCTGAAGTACATCAGGAAGGAGCCACAGTGGTGAGCAAGCTGTTCCTGTCTCATGTTCAACTCTGGGCCGTGGTCCCAACTTACATAAAGGAGGTGGGAGGTTGGGGAGAAGATGACACTGGTTCTGTTTGCCTACAAATACTTCTACAGCTCAATGTAATGGAAACCAACAAAGGACTCTGATTTTGGCAGAGGTGGAGCCCATGTGGAAGGCTGACCCAAGGTCTGGGAGAGCTTCATTCAGAAGAAATCAAAGAGTAGAGCTGGGATTTGCACGCAACCTCTCTTCCATTTCAGGCACTGGTAAATATGGTTGGCATAGACTCTCCAGCATTGCTCCTAGATGTTGACTTTCTTATGTCTTGTGTTTGCTTTTCTAACAGGTAAACTTTATTCTTGAGCATAAAAACTCTTCTGCTTTCTGCCATACAGCACAAACTGCCTGCTCAAAACGAGAGATGTCTAAAATTCTTCTCATAAAGTGAGTAATTAAGTATATGCCAAGTAATCCTTTTGAGAGGGCACATAGAAATCCAGGCTAAGGGTCTCATGAAAGGCAAAAGTCAACTTTAGCTACAGTTTGTATACAAGCAGAGGTGAACTTTAAGATCCAGCATCTTTTCTAACTTCTTGTCCTTCTAAGTAAAATTCAAGT